GAGCCGAGGCCGCCGCTAACTGGTTTAGACATTACCCGGGTGTTCAATGCCGCTGATAGAGAAATTCCGCGGCCGTGCTACGCCCATCTCACCCCATAAACCCGCGCGTTGCAGCCGGAGAGGCGGCCATCTTGAAAGAAGAAGACTCGGGCCATCGCGGCCGCCTACGTGCTGGTTCTACACGGCCACAGCCAGTTTCCCGGCCACTCTGGAGGAAATCCACCTTCGGGGAGTTTATTCGATGCTTGAAGGGGCAATGGCACTTCCTCTGGGACCGATAACACCCACGGAAGGGATCGGAGCAACCTCTTCCTCCTTTGGAGTACCGACACCCCGATGGGAAAAGCCCTGGAAGGTCCATCGCGTGTCGACCGACCCCATGTGCCCCGCACGAAGCCTACGTCGTCGCTGTAATGCACTTAGGGATTTGCTAGGGGTTTTATCGGGCCTAACAAACCCCTACATGGAAGCTCAGGGATTAATCTCTGCCTCTTCCAGTACGTAGAGTCGGCCAGGTCGGCCTGGGTTGTTCCACCCTTCCGAAGCCTACCGAGTAACCCAGAGTCGCCTGGGAGGACGGAAAAACCGTTTCCTGCTTTTGTTACGACGAGCAAATTCGGTCTTGATCCTAAAGTCCTATAAGAAGTGCTGGGCCATGACCAAGACCAGGTTCCAACCATACTTGCAGGACCAAGACCAAGTCTACAGGACGAAAACCAACTTTGCTCATCACTATGCTTTCGCCGCCGCCATCCAAAATTTCGCTGCAACCCAGCAATCGATATCCACCAGGAAACTCGGTAGAGTATCACGCCAAATGCATTGAAAATCATGTGCGAAAGGCACCGAATGCTTAGTGCCAAAATTCGGAACTTCAATCCGCCAGATATCTATTTCTCAATTCAAACAACTTATCATGGATCTATGTTCGGCACGATGAAACTACGTTCCGTTTTGTAGAGCTCGTAATTTTTTGTTCGGATAATTGCATATAAAGTACACCCAGAAGGATTCTACGTTCCACCCTTTGGGTCCCAACGCCTAACCCAGAGTCCCTGGGTCCAAGGAACACCACGAGAGGATAGGAAAAGCCTATCCTACATCTTTCGCTACCGTTTCGAGACCTCACTGCACATTCAGCAATTAACACCCGGGCAAAGTACCTCCACGTGGAACGTCCTGGGCAATAAAGGATCTGGGAACAAAAAGTCCGGAGTGCCGGTGGACCGGGTCGCACACGCGAGAAGACCCTGGCGAGCACGTAATCTCTGTTAGAACGGTAGCAGCTCGTCTCCGAGAACAAACTCCCCTCTCGGTATTCGTTGAAATTGCTCGGGCCCTGGAGACGGAGGGAGAGGGTCTTCGGGCCCTCGAGCGAGTCCAGGGAGAGGAGAAGTCTGGCCCTGCGTTCGGGGGGCCTCGCGCCCCGAGGAGGCAAGAACGGAGCCGCAATTTGCGTAATTGCGACGCGCCGGTGCGCGAGCACAAGGCCCGCGGCTCCCGGCGCGGCGGCGAAGGCTGCAGCGAGGAGGCCCCAGCATCCCGAAGATGCGCCGCCCTGCGCATCACTGGGCTCGTGCTCCGCCGATTAGAGGCTCGCGATGCGAGGATGTTCACCAGCTGTTTGCGCTCAGCTTTCTTAAGCTAACGCGATACCTGATAGGGCATTTGCGGGGATCTGCAATTTGAATGAATTTCGTTCTTCCTTCTTATTTCCTCATTGTCCGCAGTTGTTCTTCGGGGTTCCAAATCACGTCCCACTGGAGATGAACGATCCGTGGTATGAGGTATCCGTGGTAAGGGAGATTAGTCTCTCCACAGAAGTGTGGTACTAACATTGGCGCGCCAGAATGGCAGATATGCAAATTCGAGCTAACCCAAGACCCGATGGGCCATTTATAGGGATCCACTGGGTGGATGGATATCGTTCTTCCTTCTTATTCCCACACTGTCCGGAGTTGTTCCGGGTGGTTCCAAATGAAGTATGGCTGGGTCATGATGTACTCCTAGTAAGAGCGTTTTAGATCCACCAGAGAATCTTCCCCCAGTATCGTTGCACTAGGGATGGTAGATTGGAAAGGACAATGCAGGAGCTGATAGGCCGTTTACAGCGACCTGAAATTTTAACGCACGTTCTTAATTCTCTTTTCATCATTGTCTGGAGTGGTTATTCGGGTTTCTAGACCACATTGGTATCATGAACGGTCTGCGTAATGACGCACCCCTAGGAAGGACGTTTTAGTTCCTCCGATTCAAAGATGAACGGTCCGTGGTATGATGTATCCGTGGTAAGGGAGATTAGCCTCTCCACAGAAATGTGGCACTAACATTGGCGCGCCAGAATGGCAGATATGCAAATTCGAGCTAACCCAAGACCCGATAGGCCATTTATAGGGATCCACTGGGTGGATGGATATCGTTCTTCCTTCTTATTCCCACACTGTCCGGAGTTGTTCCGGGTGGTTCCAAATGAAGTATGGCTGGGTCATGATGTACTCCTAGTAAGAGCGTTTTAGATCCACCAGAGAATCCAGTATCGTTGCACTAGGGATGGTAGATTGGAAAGGACAATGCAGGAGCTGATAGACCGTTTACAGCGACCTGAAATTTTAACGCATGTTCTTAATTCTCTTTTCATCATTGTCCGGAGTTGTTATTAGGATTTCTAGACCTAGTTTCTAGACATTGTTATCATGAACGGTCTGCGTAATGACGCACCCCTAGGAAGGACGTTTTAGTTCCTCCGATTCAACTCGCTCCTGATGGAAACCCATCGAGGAGGCCCGAGAGGCGTTTGGAGGCGCGCTAAGTTGTGCAGGTGCAGAGAGTCGTGTTAGTGCACTCGAATGGCAGATCGGCAAATCTAAGATCGTGCAAGCGGTGTCCGGTGGCGTGTCCGCGACGTACATCGGCGAGGCTGGGGGGTGAAGCGCGGGGCACCGCCGGTGGATGCGAAGAGTGAAGGATGAGGGGCTGAAGGAGGTGCAGCAGGAGAAGGGGGGTGGAATGCGCGGGTCTCGAAGGAGGAGCTGTCGGCGGTGAAAAATCACGCACCCCGCCACCACTGCCATGGCCAGCATCTGCTCTACATACCCGGGTTCTCAACCGGCACCACTCCCCTTTCCTACTACAAACCTACTCCACGACCTAATCTTTACCCTCTTCTATTCGTCACCGTCATTATTCATTATAAAATTGTTTGGCTGCAATTACGGACGAAAGAAGAATACCCAATCCAAAATACGTCCGGGATTACAGCGATGTGTTCCAGCAACATGGATGATAGGTGGTACCATCGCTACTAAAACAAGTGGTGATCTTTCATCCAGGCTCTGGATTCGTTTTAAAACTTATAAGGATGTAATTATTTACCCAAGGACCTTTGGCGAATAATTCATTGTATTGGTTGAAACTATGAGCGAACCAAAAATATCTAATCCAAAATACGTGAGAGGTTCCAGAGATGCGTTCCAGCAACTTGGGTGCTAATTGATACCATCGCTTCTAAAAGGAGTCGTGATCCTTGCTCCAGACTCTAGGCTCATCCTAAAACTTATAAACCAATTTTGATGTAAGGACCTTTGGCGAATAATTCATTGTATTGGTTGCAATTATGAACGAACCAAAAATATCTAATCCAAAATACGTGAGAGGTTCCAGAGATGCGTTCCAGCAACTTGGGTGCTAAGTGGTACCATCGCTTCTAAAAGGAGTCGTGATCCTTCCTCCAGTCTCTAGGCTCATCCTAAAACTTATAAACCAAGGATCTGATTTCTGACCTAAGGACCTTTGGCGAATAATTCCCTCGCCTTCGTTGAGAACCACGAAGAATCGGAGTGTGGTGAAGCGGAGCAAGATATACGTGTGCTGGCCGGGCTACCGGTCGGTCGGGTCGGGTCGCTGTTCCCCTGTGTTTCATCTCTCCCTTTTGGTCTGTTTTGCTGTTCCCCCTTCTCTCCCTTCTCTGTCCACCTTCTCGCCGTCACGTATCTCCGTCTCTTTCCAACCCACCGATACCGCGCCCCGGAGGATAAGCCCTCTCTCTCTCTCTCTCTCTTTCCCACTCGCTCGCGCACCACAGTCGTTGTTCGATTGTTTTATTAGTTTTGTAAACGCCGCTGCCACCGCGGCCGCTTCCTTTGTTGGTAACCCTGGCCCATTGTTGCTGGCGGAAAGATGGGAATTTTCATTTGACATTGTCTAATATTATTTATGTATGCACGGTGCCGATCGGCTTCTTCAAAAGAGCCCACCTCTTTCCCTCCCCTTCCATCCCGCCTCTATATTCTCTTCATCAGCCACCTGTTAATTTGCCCTTTTGTTATCAACATTGAGTTGATAACAAATAACGATTGTCTCGGCCAGGAATTACGTTTCAGACCCATCCACCTGATGGGCATCCGTGTCCAGAATAGGAGCTTTGGGGTGATGGGTCCTTTTGTGACCCATCCACCTGATGGGCATCCGTGTCCAGAAGAGGAGCTTTGGGGTGATGGTTCTTTTTACAAATAACGTTTGTCACGTCCAGGAATTACGTTTCAGACCCATCCACCTGATGGGCATCCGTGTCCAGAAGAGGAGCTTTGGGGTGATGGTTCTTTTTATTCCGTTCCAACATTAAGTTGATAACAAATAACGTTTGTCACGTCCAGGAATTACGTTTCAGACCCATCCACCTGATGGGCATCCGTGTCCAGAAGAGGAGCTTTAGGTTGATGGTTCTTTTTGTTCCTTGTTGTTCCTGGGTGGTAACTCGGTGAAGATGCCTCAATATCGACTGTATCATTACCCAGAAGCGTGAATAATTATATAATATCTGATTAGGGATAATCGATAGCTCCCGTAAGGGTTGCCCGTCGAAGGGGTCTGGACAAAGTGTTGTCGGGGGAACCCCCTTGAAATGTCAGGGCTGGGAGTCTGCGCATGGGGGAGTCCTCGGAGAATCAATATCTGATTATATCCAGGCTGGCCTCGAACGGGAGCCACGAGAGGAGGCGCAACAGTTGCTCTCTTCTCCTCTGGGATGAAAAACCCATAAAGAAGGCTCCACTCGGTAATCCATTTCCGTGATTCCAACACACTGATCGACCACTGTCTCATCGGTTCCTCCCAGCAAATCGACAAATTCTCTACCCTGAGTCCTAGAAAACGCGACTTCCCCGGTACTCCGGATGATACAACAGGTGTTTGTGGTCACGATCCATTGTACAGAGAAATACTCTCCACCCTGGACAACTGTCGGGCAATGCCGAACGCGCGACAACGACGACATGGTATGAGGCAGTGATCAAATATCATACAGGTAGATTTAAGAAAAATCCACTATCTACTCTCTACTATCTAATACAACCACTAGATCCCCACTATCGAGAGGGACAACAGGTGTGAGGGTGTATAGAGTGCTTTTCAGCCATGGAATAAGTGTAGGGTCCGCCATCGTGACCATCACCGTGGACTACTTCCGTTGCCGTTTATCTTGGAGAGGAAGTGGATCGGAAAAATCGGCAGCGTGTTCGCCTATCTCTTCGGGTATTGTCGCAGAGTGTACAACAGGTGTGTCGGTCCCGACCTGGAGGATGAGCGCGGCATAAAACTCGTGTATTACGGGCACGCACGCTCTCCTGATCCCCGACGTACACTTAAAAGCGCACACCAAGACGGGTCCAGATCCGACAGGGCGTCCAAGATGGACGGTATGAATTTAATCGGATTTACGAGGGGTCTCCAGGAGAGCAAGATTAAGCCCGACGATGCGATCCTCAGCTAAGGGTGAGAACTGGCCAAGATGAGCGAGCGCATGTCCCTCGGCATCAACCTCAGCATCCTCCTGATCTCCGCGATCTTCGCGGCGTTGCTCTCGGTGCCGCTGAGGTTGTTGCTGGACACGAATTATTACGCCGAGAACGAAACCCTGGAAGGGAACGAGACATCAGCCAAGGAAACGGCAGTGGCCCTGCCGATCGACCACAAGAAGCTTAAAGTCTGTCCAAAGCCCGAGTATTCCTACAGAGTCAAGTCGATTTTCTTCACCGACTACGATGGGAACTGCACCTACCCTAGGCCAAGGGTCCGCAAGGTGCAGCTCATCGTGGACGTTCTGCACAAGGAGTTCCCCGATGACGAGATCCCTCAAGGTGGTTTAACCCCAGGGAATCCAGAGGAGGGCAAGCAGGACCCTCAAGGGGACAGAACGAAGTCCTTCTCTCTGGTGGGGCATGTCCTGGTTGCCATGCTCGTCGTCTCTGCAGTTGCAGCCCTGGTCGAGGTCCTTCGCATCCGCTTTTGCCTCTGCAAGGTAGTGAACTCCTCCAGGACAAACTTTCGAGCTCCAGGAGATTTCGAGCGTGCCTGGTGATCTCGTGGAATCGAAATTGTTGATGTTGTCGCATTTTGACTATGATTGTCCATGTTGGTTCGAGGTCGGCTCAACTAGCAGGAGTCTGAAGAAGGGCTCGTTCGACGAGCCAGGCCTGAGCCAGTTCGTTTCCAAGCCCAGCATCCAGTCGCAGACGTCCTTCGAGATGCAGGGCTCCATTCGGTCTGGGCTTCGTCTTCTGGGTGAGGAGACACGACGTTCCTGGCTTGAGGTGCATGAGATTAGGACATGGATGGAGGATACGTGGACACCGAACACCCGATCACACTTTTGATGTTTTTGTGACTGCTTGTGAGAGTCAAACAGGACGAGCGAGGGACCACCCTTTTCTGTTTCTCCCTTTCCGTTAAATAGCCTGTCGCCCTTTTGCGTTGTGCAGTTCTTTAGCAAAATCAGAGGGAGAAAGAGTGCGTCCCTTATTTTCATCTATGTGGCTGCCTTCATAGTTAGAGCGGCGTGCGGGGTCCATATATCTTACGTCCATGGATTCGTACCTAAGGTCGGAACCGATCTGCGTAATCTCCATAATTTTCAGGGCCAAGACCAGCGCCACTCCTCCGCAGGTCCTCATTTCCGGTACAACGGATCGACCAAACGGCTCCTGTTTTTAAGCCCGAGTCGCCGCGTCGGGGATCCTTATGTCCGACAACAGCGGAAGAGGAGGTCGACTTTGCTGTAACGGCTCTCCGCCATCGCACGCGTTTGATTCGTCGGTACTGACGCACGTCTCTGGATGTCTTTCTGCAATCTACATCGAATTCACCGAGCACGTCCCTTGGCACTCGCATTTTCGCGATTCCTGACCGCGACGATCGGCTCTGAGATTTCCGTCGAAGCGCAGCTTCTCGGTGGGTCTTCCACGCAGGAATACATTGGTTTGAATCCATCAAATTCATGTTGGTTTAACCATAATACGGCTGTACAGACAAACAAATATTTAATTAACACGACAAAATTTTTGGATCATACCTTTTAGTTGATTACACAACATTACACAACGATCAGCTCTGAGATTTCCGTCGAAGCGCAGCTTCTCGGTGGGTCTTCCACGCAGGAATGCGTTGGTTTGAATCCATAAAATTCATGTTGGTTTAACCATAATACGCCTGTACAGACACATAAATATTTAATTAACACGACAAAATTCTTGAATCATACCTTTTAGTTGATTACACAGCATTACACAACGATCAACTCTGAGATTTCCGTCGAAGCGCAGCTTCTCGGTGGGTCTTCCATACAGGAGTACGTTGGTTTGAATCCATGAAATTCCTGTTGGTTCAACCATAATGTGGTTAAATAAACAAACAAATATTTAATTAATACGTCAACATTTTTGGATAATACCTTTTAGTTGATTACACAACGTATTACTCAACGCTAAATATTGAAGTGATATTAGAAAACGAGTTAACCGAAATGCTTTAGACAATTGAAATAAGATTCTGTTAAGGTGATATGAAAGGGTCATTCTATATATATAAAACAAAAGTATTTATAAAACTTATATATATAAAGTATGACAATTTTATATCATCTCAATGATTTAAAATTCAGTTCATTCAACCAAAACATTTAAACAAAATGAAAGCGACACTTGTTGAAGAACTTCCTTATACAGAAATTCGTAGATAAGCAAATGTTATGTCAATGTTGATTATATGGTACTTCATGGTACATGGAAATAAGATTTTGGAAATGTTTCAGGTGTTGATCCACACTCTGGAAAAGGTACAACGATCTATTTGAGTCCGACATCACGTTTATAGCCACAGCGCTATTATGCAGAAAAAAAAAAGAAACGTTTCACCAAACGACGAAACGCTTGCTAACAGGTCGATTATTTTTTAATCGAACGGTGACGCAACGTTGTTCAATGTGCTGCAACAATACGATATAAATGATATTTTCGTATCCACAATTATAAACGTCGAGGCACCCAGTAATTAGTATCCGAGCTTACTCGATCCTTTTCTGTGATGTCTATTCTTCGTGTGATATTACATCTGTGACGTAATTTCTGGAATAAACCCGAAAGGCGTATATTTCTCTTATTAATATCAAATTATTGTCTTAACTGTGTTAACGAATCCGTACCATGATTACTTCTTTAACCATTAATTGTCCATTTCTACTGCGACGAGAGGGAAATTAAATCGAGTAGCAGACTCTTTCCTTGCATTTTCTTTTATTTTTAATAATCTGCATCTTTTCATTTGAATTCGAAGAAAAGTAAGAGTTACGGTTTAAACCGTGGTGGCAGCACTTGGTAGAAGACTGCTACCCTTAGTTCCTCGCTTCACCGAGGGCGGCGCTAATGCGCTACTGTGGGCCGCCATGTTGTTTGGTCGCGGCTCGTCTCCCCGACTGACGCGTAGAAGAGCGTGGTCATGAATTAAAGTAACGGGACCTAGGCGGAATTTCGGAAGTTCTGTGAAAAGAATCCCTCTCGCGTGGTCGAGATTCAAGATTAGTTCGGAGATAAGCAAACGCGGTGACCCGGAAACGCTCGGTGTCGAGCGCGCAGTTGCCAAGGCGACTGGTGCGCGCGCGTGTCGCAGGTCACGAATCGAGGTTATGGGCTGCAGACGCACTCCGGATTTTCTAGGGTTTTGGGCCTTTGCTGGTTGATCGCCGCCCCGAATGAGGCTTTTGACCACTCAGAATGGACTTCTCAGTGCTCGGTCATTACGACCCCGGCGTCGAGGCCACCGCCGCCGCAGAACAAGATCTCCTCTGTACGTACAGGTCTCGCTTTGGTTAAGGTCTTTTACACTCCTATGTCCTATATTTCTTTGATGTGAAGCATTTCAGACTCTGCTTAACTGAAACTTTTCATTAAGTTACCTTTAGATTCAACTGCAGAAGCAAACTGCACATTTTACGCAATGCTTTTAAAAGATGTGGAGCCCAGAAGCTCGCTGCGTTTCATATACAAACGGAAGATCACACTTTTTGAATTATACCTTTGCTTTGGTTATGGTTGTTTATCTTTATTTCTAGGGCTTGATTTCTCTTTGCTTGGCACTAGCATTTGGATTAGTTTTTATTTTGATCGTTGAAGCAGAATGCGTAATCTGGACTATACTTTTGACTGGCTTAAAATGTATCGATATATTATGCTTTATGGGCTAAGAATTAAGCGGTTACATTCGTACGCTTCGTCTAAATTTTGCTTCGATTCAAGGACAGTTTAGATTTAGTCATTGCAGATGGTACGATGAGGTTAAGGTACACAGCGAACCATTTATAGGCTGTAAAATTGGAACGTAGAAATTACAATATCATTTTTATTGGCTTGAAGTATTGGCTAGCTTCTGGGTGCTTTTTACTTGAATTTTTGTAATACTCTGTGGTCCACGTGTTCCTGAATCTTGAAAGAATAGCAGCGTAAATAGTATTAGTGATAGGAGAATCATTTTTCAGGGGAGGAATCCCATTACGATTTATCCGGTGAGGGTTTCGTCCCAGTGGCGGAGCAGTTTGGGGAAGAGTTTGCTGGAGCAGAGTTTCACGAGACGAGAACGTTACTTGCCGATGGAGGTGACCGTTTTGGTGTGTCCACAGCCACATTCGATACGATCGAAGAGCTCATGTGGATGGGCAACCAAGGGGTATGATTTGGTTGCTTCCAAGGATTAAAGTACACTAGCGTACTGGCTAAACCATTTACTTTTTATAGGGTCACGTGACTTCTTATTATGGCTCTGGCCTACAAAAGTACACATCTTTCCAAGTCCATGCAACGCAACAAGTTCGACACATTCATCCTGTGGATGAGGGGATCTTGGTACTCACTCAGAGTATGTTACGATGCCAGTTGCGGCGAGGCATACCAATATTTTCCCATACGTACGTTGCCCTAAGTCTTAGACCCTGCAAACCATACGCTTGTCTTTAACTCTGCAATTCCCTTAAAATTACAGGTCGACAAACATGATGGACATGCAATGCATGTTGCAAATCGCGCCGACCAGGTTACTCATGGCTGGCCATCAGGAGAAATTGATCGACTTTAACTTAACTAGAGGCAAAGAGACTGGAACTGTGAGTTCTTTACTTTATTAGACATTATTACTACGTCAGAAAGAATTGGAATGTTGGTTCGATGTTTTTTCCAAGAGATATTCCTTTTTGTAACAAATAGTACCTCGCACGACATCGGTTAAAATTTACTTGCTACTTAGTTAAGGATCATGGTTTCTTGTGTTCACTAGGTTCATGTAGGTGAACACGGTTGTGCAATATTGAGGCAACACAGCAGGCTGGTATGTGCAGGCAATCCTGCAGGACGTATCGACCTCAGAGACCCGAATACTCTATCGGTGGAGCATACTCTGGACACCCATAGTGGTTCCCTCAGTGATTTTGATGTCCAAGGGAATTACCTGGTGACTTGTGGCTTCAGCAACAGGTGAGAATACTCATCGACTGTAGCCGATGTCTTCAAGGGGTACTTGAAAACCAATTCTTATCATCTTTGTGCAGTCGCCAGGGGCTTTCGGTCGATCGATTTCTGATGGTCTACGACTTGAGGCAGATGAGAGCCTTGAGTCCGGTCACGACGATGGTTTACCCACTTCTGCTCAAGTTCCTACCGAGCTACTCGAGTCGCCTTGCAGTCGTATCTCCGTTTGGCCAAATGCAACTGCTCGATACAATTTACGCCAACGTCCAACCGACCATGACGTGTTTATATCAGGTAGAAAAAAATGGTGGTCTTTGGTAGAAACCACCAAAAGCATGATTTATGGAACTCTGTGAGACCCTTTCACAAAGCGAACTGAATCCCAGCTTGCTGAACTTAGAGTGTTATCCTTTATTCATACCGTCTGCGATTTGGGACGAATAATGTCAGCCCTGCAAGGATCGATTTCGTTTGTAGGTCGCTACCGGAGGTGCCTTGGTGCTTTCCTTTGACGTTTCCCCCACGTCTCAATGTCTCTGCTTCGGAGACTCGGCAGGGACCATACATCTGATGTCTACGAACACATCGGAGCCACAGTTTAACACCTTCTCCAGGTAGCTATGAGCTGGAGGGAAAACCTTTGCTACACCGAGCGAGAAATTTACTGTCTAAATAAAGAAGGAATTCTCATGCCAAATAGAAATTATACTCGCGATTATTCTACAAAATAAATATGAGATTCCCACAAAACAGACTTCGCTGGAGCGAAGAATTTTCATCGGCAAGAAAGATTTACACTGCTGCAAATAATTACCCATAGAAAGTATATTTCTCCCTCGGTGTATGGAAGATAGCTAGAGTCCCATCCCTGCTTTTAGAATAGTTCGCTGATTCTGTCCGAGCGAAGAGTTTGTTAGAACTTTGGGGAGAACGAAATTTTCTGTCACAGACCCACGGAATTTGCCGATCCCGTTGAAACGCTCCAACCCATCCCGTTCGACGACGATTCGACGCCCTTTAGTACGATACCTATGATTTATACAGGACACGCTCTATTAAGCGACTGGCCGGAGGAATACATGAAGAAGGTGTACAGGTACGAGTCTCTCACCTCTAGCCACTTCCTTATCAATTAAGAGCTTCGACTATCGAGAGGATCTCAAGTTCCTTTCTCGCTAAGAGAACTGGAGATCACTTTCCGCGAGGGTGTCCGAAACTAACTAAAACCACCCCAGGGTGATCCTCTAATTGGAACGATTCCATCCCCAGGAAGACGCCGCCGATCGACCCGGAAATCCTGCGCACAATGAAGATGCAAGGAACAATCGGATACGCACCGAACCCCCAGGCCTTTCGACGTAACCAAGTGAGGAAACAATATTCTCCCACGCTACTACAGTATTCTCCGCCCTCCCTCCTAAAGTTCCCCTAATTCTCCCCCCACGTCCTTTCCGTATTCCCCGAAGAGATCCGCAAAGTTCCCCACACCTCTTGCACGGTCTTCCTTTCGGGAGAGGTAGGACGAAGGGACGAGTCTCGTCCATCTCAGGTGTCCTCGTTGACTAGACTCGCTGATTTCTTTTCATCGTATCTCTCTGCAATCGGCCAAGAGCATTTATTTATTTCCTTAAGGTTTATCTTTTTCTAAGCCAAGCGGCTTTGCGATACGGTGGACTAATTAAATCCGCAGCTGGGCATTTAGAAATGTGGCAAGCAATAAAGCATTTAAGCCTCCGTGCTCGGAGAGAGGCGCTGGGGTCGAAGACGCGTGGCGCACTCTGGCGCCGGATTCTGGTGTTATATAGTACGTACTTCTGCATATATATATATATACATATATATATATATATCAAGCAAGACTGAACAGACCTGGTGATAAAAACGTTATATTCGTAGTCCTCGATGCATAATACGAAATCGTGATATATTTTCATAAGCTAGTCGCTTCCCATCGTTTTTCCGCGTTTCAATCCGAGCCCTGCGCCCTAGGTGGAGGCGCGTGACGTCCTTCTTTGCTCTCTTCCTAGAAGAGAAGACTTATAGAGACCGTAGGGTTATATATTATTATACGTAGAGTTATTAAGTTTTTGTTGGAACGCGAGTTTCCGCGGCGCGTGCGATCGCGGATCGACGCGTTCGCGGGGGGTCTTGATCTCATTTTCTTCCTTCGCTTTTCTTGCGATTCGCGAGTCTGTCCTTTGCTCTGCAAAGAGCCCTACATGCTCAACGTTCGGCCGATCGATGTAAAAATAGTCGGCCCTCCATTGATCTCCTCGTTCTCCTTACTACGTGCCAATATATGGGATGTAACGAGGTCGAGACTGTTAAGTATAGAGGACGGGTCTAATGTGATCGATTATCTTCTGTTGAAATGCCTCCACCGAGTTAACCTTTCATGGTGGAGTTTTCACATGTTGTCCGGTCTCAATCCCTGGATTTCCCCGGATCTCCGTGAGTTCCCCTAGACTTCCACTCCCCCTTGTACACACCGGAAAGACTACTGGAATGTTGTTTAAATCGGCGACGCCATGTTAAGCGGTTCGCCGCGCGCGTAATTACATATAGGATATATTTACACGTATTCCTGGACGTATCCGTACACGGATCCACGCCCACACACACCCACACATCTTATATAGATATATATATACATATATACATATATATTGCTCACGAAATGTATACTCGAAGTTGTATTTGATGCGAAATAAAGGTTGTATCAGACACTCATGCCTGGGTTTAATGTGGGTCGTCGAGTCTCACTCCCAGGAAACGTCTATTTTTTTAAACGTTTCCGAACGATTCCGGACTCGGGGATCGAGACCAGGACGAGGGGCGGATTTTTATGCCGTGAATACCCCGGGACTGGACGCGCCTACAACTTTTATTATACAGAGATGCAATGTGGGCCCGGCGCCGCCTGTTGGCCGTAATGGGAAATAAGTGCTACCCCGTTTTGCAGATCCCTTACAATACGGAAAAACGACGGGGGGTTGTGACCAAACTCTTCGCCACGGAGCCACGATCAAAGTCAGAGGATGCTACCTTCGTCGCCATTCCTAAGCGTTACCGTAAGATCGAGGCTAAGTACTCCAGGCTTGGTTACGATGAGTTCGACTTTGACCAGTACAATCGTACCAGCTTTTGCGGACTCGAGGCTACGCTTCCCAACAGCTATTGCAACGCCATGTTGCAGGTAAGATGAGATATTGTCGCAAAGGATGGCCTGATTCCGAGGAAAGAGTCCTTCACTGCGATTCTTTGGTCCACCTTGAAGTGGAACTTCTTTATGCTTGGTTGTACGTGCAAGCTCGCGTGTTGAGGAAGGGGGCGCTGTAACGTAAAGTGAAACGCTTCTTCTCTTACATTTAATTACCATTTATATTCATATTTATGTGTATATGTCCAAAATAAGAGATAGAGAAGGAGTGACACTGATGACGCTTCTCTTTAAGTTAGAAGTTTCACTTCCAATGTGGTCGGACACCGATTTTTTTCTCTTTCCTGCTCTTGAAGGCCGATTCAAACATATCCGTGATAGTAACGTCTTGGATTGCAATTAGGGGGTCCGGGGATTTTCGTATCGGTGCTATCGGTGCACGGAAACGGCATGGATATGTCTGAGTCGGCTTTAATAATTCAGGGGGGGGGGGGGAAATTGACCGAGCTGGACGGCTTTGGATTTGAAATAGAAGTATAGGGGATATATGTGTTCTTCAGCTACTCTACTACTGCGAGCCCATCAGAATAGCGCTGCTGTCGCATTCGTGCCAGAGGGAGTTTTGCCTTTCCTGCGAGCTGGGCTTCCTCTTCCACATGCTGGACACTTCCCGAGGTTGGCCTTGCCAAGCTGCCAACTTTTTGCGAGCCTTCCGGACAGTTCCCGAAGCTTCGGCTCTGGGCCTCATCCTCAGCGACCTCCACCCTGAAGCCAAACGGAAAACCAGCCTGGCTAGATTGATACAGGTAGTGACGCATAGAAAATCATCAGGGATACTCTCGGATATTGCTGAAAGGCCCTTGCTTTTCGCAAGAACAATAAGAAATAATCAAAACCTTCAAAAATGTTCCTTAGATTCTTAGAAAGTAACAGGACCTTTTGTCCTGGTAATCAGAAACTGAGGTTTTGGCCTGCCGGTGACGATTTCCGTGGGTGTTCCTTGATAGGTCAAGCAGTATGGATGATGATTCATATTCTTTGGCATACCATAACTTTGTTACTCCGTCTCGCAGAGTTGGAACAGGTTCATCCTACATCAGATGCACTATGAGATCCTGGAAACCCGGAAGCGGCTGCAAGAGGAAGCGGAAGCGATGCGCCTGAAGACTGGACCGAAGTACCCGCCGTTCGTCTACAACGAGGAGGACTTCCCCAGCATCCTGCAGGACCTCGGCTCCAGATACAAGACCAACGAGGACGACCGGAAGAAGCGCCGGAAGCAAGAGGGGGATGGTAAATATATGTGAATCGTGTCGATAGGTAAACACAATGATTCACGTATGACACGTGCACTGGCCAATTTTGTGTTTACTTTTCAACTCCACGCTGTGCCTGCTTTGCGTTTAGAGTTAGACTTATCGTAATGTGTCCCCGGCTTGCGTGATTCTGCAGACCCATGACCAGGGGATCTGGTACCGCAGTGTGTCCATCTAGATTGCATTACCGTCCACCTAGACGGGTGCCGATCCATGGAATGACGAGCGAATGGGGACCTTTAAATGGCTACTATTTTTTAACGCGAACAATGTTTCACTCAATCTACTCCCATACGTTAGCATGAAGGTCGCTCGATTTGTTTAGCCGAGTTGCTTTCCTCTTGGTTATCATACTGTGCTGTATCGGAGCTGCGGTGTTAATTCATGTGCTCGTCCTAGGCACCCAGCTTAACTTCTCGTTTCCTTTATAACGAATGATTCTTACGTCCAGACAGTAAAAAACCGGAGGAGAACGAAGTCCGGGACGAGGAAACCGAGATCAGTCGACTATTTGGCTCTGAGCAGATCCATATTCATCGGTGCTTAAAGTGCGGCCAGGAAGCCTCCAAGAGGTCCATCATGCTGCTGTGTAACTTGTCCTATCCGGAGATGATGAGCGCATGTAAGGAACACATTTATTCTCGTAACGATGACGTTAACTAGGACATTTATTAGGAGTCCGACTCACGCCTTTGAATTTCTTTTTGAAGCCGACGAGGTCCCTTTTACGACGGTCCTCGCCAGGAGTCTAAGCCCGGAAAAGATAACGCCAGCTTGGTGCGACGCTTGCCAAAAGTTTGCGCCTACTCTTCAGTCCCGGAAACTGACCAAACTGCCGCTGATATTGGCGCTGAACTGTGGACTAGACTCTAAAGAGGTACTTTTACTGCTTTGGAAACATCGTATGAGGCTCTATCGAGCATCCCGGTGCTGCTGATTTAGGTTACATCCCCTCTATGCGCTCTTCGGTGAACTATTGATCCTTTAAACAGACCGACCCTTTGATATTTTCTTTTTTTCTTTTCAATTGGGAGTGTTCCAAGGCACCGTATATGAATTCAATCGGTCATTTCTTTTCCGCGCCAGGACAAGTCCTTCTGGCAGCGCCAGATGGACATCGTGGTGCAAAAGGTCCTGGGAGTGAAGGACTTCAGCCCAGCCTCCAGTCCTGTACCGGTGACCATAAAGCCTTGCCGATACGGCACAAATTGCACGCGTGCTGGTTGTCGGTTTAGACACGCCGGTAGGGAATCTGGTGAGTACTGTAGGTCTTTAAGGTGAAGTGAAATCCCCTTCAAATCAGTCGATTCTAATACAACACTTTTTTTTAAAGGGTATTAGACCAAACGGTCTAAAACTTTGACACACCACTCCTGATCATCTAAGAATAGTCCTGACACATTCAAAATTTCAATTTTGAAACAAATTTTTTAACTAGACCAGAACCAAAATGCCGTCGAGCTCTCATATTTCAATCAATATACAATTATCGAAGGCTCTGATATGAGAATCGAAAGGGTCAGGACAATTTTACGACAATTTAGAACACTCTGGTAATCGATAAACTCGCATTTGAACGGGATAAAGGCAAAAGAAGTGTTCTATGCACTTCTATACCAAAACGATGGTAATACGAGGTCTCGGAGTGAAAATTTAATTGACCAGGGAATCACAGATGGCGCAGGGGGTCCCTCTGTAGTCAATTAGGGCCCCAGAAAGCATGAATTCAGAGGATTTCTGGAGTTTTGCTTCGATTTCTTTATAATTATTATACAAAAACGACAGGTGGATTATGCCATTTGGTACAATACCCAATATAATTCGATACAGCTGTCGATATAAAAACGAACGTCGTCAACGTAGGCATTTAGAAAAATCTTTATCGACGTCGATCAAGTTTCTCGACGTGTTTCACTTCACCTTAAGCTCGGAATCTACCTCCTAAACATGGAAAATGTCGATGGGATGAGGTAAAACTACTATTAACCGGTAAAAATGTCTATTCCCCCCAGATACGACGGCTGCGTCTTCGCCTGGGACACCGCCAACGAGTACTAGCGGCCCGGTCCCGACTCCTCCGAGCCACCTTTATTACTCGCATTCCTGGATCCCGCATAATATTCGAGTGACCCTGGACGAGAACGGGGAATTGGCCATCGAAAGACTGGAGAAACCTGCGCAGCCTACGGAAAAATTGGTCGTTGAGAATGGCCAGGGAGATAACATCATAAAGACCAGCGACGAGCAAGAAGAAAGTGCTCGTGAGAAGCTTGCCAATGAGGGGGATGGTGGTGGTTCCGATGGTACCGAGGCCGATGACAGTGCCCAGGGCAACCTGGAAAGGAAAGCCGTGGACATTCAGTATACTTTGACGGCGGTTATTTGCTACGTCGATGATAAGACCAGCGACGACCGGAAAAACGTCGTCGCGCTGATACGTGTCGGGCCTAACTATCACGAGAGACTCTCCGGTAGTGCCGTCTCCCAGTGGTACATCTTTAACGACTTCAGGTAAGTTATCTTGACTGATCACTACTAGGCCTTTCTAAAGAGCATATCTTCGTTGGAAGTAGGTACTGATTTATACTGGACACCTAGCTACTTTGGTTTTATTCGTAGTGTAGATTTTTAACTATTTGGGGAACTGATGAGAGTCTTCCTTTCAGCATATCCGCAGTGACGCCTCAAGAAGCTGTGTGGTTTAATCTCGACTGGAAAGTACCTTGCGTCCTGCATTATACTGCAACCCCAGCACCGGAATCGGCCCAGTTTGTCAGTCCTTTGACTTATGACGTGTTTGGGGAAGACAAATGCGTCGCACGAAGCGGCGGTACCAGGGGTATCACTTTTACGCCCTTGACTTCTGACGAAATGCCGAAAAGCGGTAATTCTTAGCCCGGAATGGACTCGCTGATTGTAATTTAGGGGCGGATAAACAAGGATGTGTATTTCTAGGAGAACTAGTGGGAATCGACGCAGAATTTGTAACGCTCAATCAAGAGGAGGCTGAACTTCGCAGTGATGGGAAAATGTCCACCATCAAACCTAGTCATATGTCTGTGGCGAGAATCACTTGTATTCGCGGGTAGGCTAATTGTTATCACGATGGATGGTCACTTTGAGGTGTCGATCCAATTTTCTCTTTTGTGGTGGATTCAAGAAATATATTCCTTTCAATCTAGGCAAGGTCCGCTTGAGGGAACTCCGTTCATAGACGACTACATAAGCACTCAGGAACAAGTGGTGGATTACTTGACGAAATTCAGCGGGATTCAGCCAGGCGACCTGGACGCCAACTTCAGTAGCAAACACCTCACCACTCTGAAGTCTACGTACCAGAAGCTGCGATTTCTGGTGGACAATGGCATAATATTCGTTGGCCATGGTCTGAAGAATGACTTTAGGTAATTCCCAGCTGATCGGGTGATCTAGTAGTTACGTCAGGAACGTGGTAGAGCCGTATCTATGTTTCAGAGTCATCAACCTAGTGGTGCCAGCGGAGCAGATCGTGGACACGGTATTGCTCTTCCATTTACCCCATCATCGGATGGTGTCCTTGCGATTCTTGACCTGGCACTTCTTGGGAAAGAAGATACAGTCAGAGACCCACGACTCCGCGGAAGATGCCAGAGCTGCTTTGGCGCTCTACCATAAGTACAAAGAGCTAGAGAGCTCCGGGAGGCTGACGGAGGTCCTGAAGGAACTCTACAGCGCCGGCACCAAACTGCAGTGGAAGGTAGTCTACCTGGTGCCTACCACATCTTTTCATCTCCTAAACACCTTGATAGAATTCCTTCATCGGCTCTATATTCCATTCACCCTCGTGTCTTTCATCCAGGTGCCGGATAGCTGATATATGGACAAATCGTCCGGCGAGGAACCTAAAGGCATCGGTCCTTGTGACCAAGATCTAGATTTCACGGGCTTGTGATGTGATATCACGGTAAGCCCTTGGAAACCTAACTCGAATTCGACGCTCATCGATATCTCCATACCGACCCCGTAGATTTGTAATACGTAGGAAGGTCTTGGAGCGACTGAAGCGAACTCGCCCTTCCTCGCCTGGACATCCTGAACGAGAAGTGCCTATCAGAAGGTGATCGACGTCTATCTATGTTGAGCACTCATTGACCCTTCGGTAGGCATGATCGAGACGCCCGTCTCTCTCGTCCAGGGTCGAAAATGATCTCACAACGAGATACTCAAGAAACCTGTGGGTCCTTCACTGAACTCTGTGAGGGATGGTCCACCGATCGGACGACGCCTTCCCGGTCTGGGAGCAAAGGCTGAGATTTTTATTATTTAACACGGTTTACGGGTACGGTAACTCTCAATAGTCATTTATATTTCGGTATTGGCTCTCTATTGCACCGACAAGTGCATCCATTTACTCAGTTGAATTGAAGTTACGCGGTACGTGCGTAAGTCGGTCGCGATATCGGTCGTCCAATCGTTGATACGATTTACAGGATTGGGCGGTGGGAATCCTCGTCCGTAGTTTTAATATTTTCCTCTTTCTTTCCTTTTCTTTTCTTTTCGTATATCATTTTAACGGCGACTCGCGGCGTAATCTACACATCACTGTCCCTTACATCTCTGTACATAGAACCCGAGGAAGGCAACGTTTCGTCGGAGGGTTGCATTTCGATGCCGCCCCTGTTACTCAAGCTTACCGAGTGTATATTTATTTTTGACCAGTCCGTTTCCGTGCACTGTAACATACGATGTGCTGTTTTGTTCCACCGTGCACGGGCTTGTGTTAAATGTACATATGCGAGGGTACTCGAAGGGGTTAACGGACGACAACTGGAACGAGATGCCTCTTCAAGCTCGAGACCGCTCCAGGGCCGCGTTACCCGTTCAAGTATCGCTTTTTTTCTTTTTTTAATATTTATCCGCCACGTCGAGTCCCCTGCATTCCCACGGGGCCCTCGAAATGTAATCTTAACGACACGACGATAGGTATATTTTACTAAACGCGCGCTCATTGTAATTTATTTTTCTACGTGCTTTGCGAAAGAGACGATGCTCCGGATTGTTATGTCCCGAGGCTAACGGGGACTGACGCGATGTGTATATTTTTCGATACTTCGACGAGACTTTACCGATGATTTTCTCAATTATCATTGTATACGGCGAACGGGCGATACCGATCGACTATTAAAGGTCTCGGTCGAGGGCCACCGATTCGTCGTTGTGCTTTTTCAATAAACGATTCCACCGAGGACCGAGACATCACGTATCGAGTTTACTTCTCTTCTGGGGTGGACTGGGGAGAGGGAATGTTCTAGGCTTTGACTCTTTTTTTTTTTGTATTAATATTATTTATAATATTATAAACTTATCACTGTATGTACACGTCAGTTCTAGGTGTCCGCGAGAGGTACCTCGCTCTATTCGGCTTTGTTACTGGATTAACCCTATCTCCTAATTTTAGTAAAGAATTAATAATTTACAGATTGTACACACATACGCTCCGACTCGAGGCACCCGAGTCCGCGTAACACATAAACGTAGAACCCTTCTTTTATTTATTTAATAAATAAGTCCCGCCCTAGACTCCCGGCCGCGTCTTCTGCGAGACACGCCGAGTCCCTCGACGTTCCAAGGAGAATCCTGAGATCACGGCGTCGGATTTTAACGGCGGGCAGCTCGCTCTTTTCACAGTGTAAAAACGACCGATGGGACCCTGAAGAAACAACATCCCTAGGGTAAATCCCCCACGATTGGCCGCCATCCTTAAGGGGATGTGAAAACGGCCAGAAGAGGGGTTTATGAAACTCTTCTCCGAACCTAGTGTGCCGAATCGTTTCAAACTTGACAATGTGAATGTGGAAGGTATAAGGAAGGTCCTGACACCCGTTAAATTTCAATTTTTTCTTAATTTGCTTATAGATGTTTTCAACATTTTTTATTAAAAATGAAATTTCATGAGTCAGGACCTGCGTTAAGGCCTCCACATCCACAAGCAGCGTGAAGAGGTATCGTTTATGAAACTCTTTTCCGAAGTCGGTATGTCGAATACCTTGTAATTTCACCTCCTGAATGTGGAGGCCTTAAAGAAAGTCCTGACTCCCATGAACTTTCATCTCCCTATTAAATTTGTTCATAAATACATTTTTAATGTTTCATAAGAGATGAAATCCAACGGTGTCGAGACCTTCCTTGGAGTCTCCTTATTCACGTGGCAAAGTTTCAGACAATTCGGTGCCCTCAGTTTGTAAAAAAGTAACACAAAGGTTGAACTCTGAAATGCCACTTTCATATCGCCTTAATGATACCCGTAGTATCGTCTTTGATTTCATGCATTTACTATTCTTTTGAGGAAGGATTCTAATGAATTGCTCGAAGAATCGCTGTCATGAAATCCCCTCTTCAGGGAGGAAACCGGCAGAAAATCCCGACAGGGTTCGTTTCTGACTAGAAACTTGCTGGAGCGAGCTGCGGGAGCTGGAAGAAGTATCATTGGCAGTAAGTAAGTAGTATTCTCTTAGTGAAATGCTCTCCTTCTCTCTGCCTGAATAGAGAGATGTTTAGTCGCGCCGGATAATGCGGAAGGCACTCGCTGGAGTTGGTTAAAGAGTATCAAAAGTTAGTCGTGAGACACGACCGCCCTCTATGAGCGTCCGATTGAGTTTCTAGGCCACTGAAGGCGAGTCTGTCGCTGAACTCTCGACGAAAGGCACTTCGAAGAGTCACCCCGAAGAGGACCTGGAGGATAGATCGACGCATCGCGTGCCGCGACTGCGATGCCGAAGAGATGGAAGATTTCAAAGATGGTCGTCGCCATGCTGGAAGTGGCCGTTCCTGTTCAAAGGTTGCCTCTCGGGCGCATCCGTGGGCCTGTTCCTCTTGAAGAAGCCGCACTGCAAATTGGAAGCGAGATTATTAATAACTCTCTTTTTAGGGTGGAGTTCATAATGTGGAGTCTAGTCGGAAAGCATCGACGAACCTTGTGCAAGAGATAGATCAGCAGAAGCAAGATGATGGTCCCGGCACACGCGGAAAGGACGACGACCCAGAGAGGAACGACGTCAGGCATCGACGGAGGTGCACTAGGTTGCACCGTCGTGTAGATCTCGTGGCTTTTGACGACTTGTTCGACAGGTGTGCCGATGAACGGCTGCTTGACGACGTGCGCCACCAGCTGGGTGGAGATCCTGACCTGCTCGTTCAGGGCCACCTTCTTCAGGGTCCTGGCATTGACCCTGTACCTGGCTACTATCCAGACCTCCTGGTCCTTCTCCAGAGGCCCCAAGGTGCACCTGAGGGTGACGCATTTCGCGACGGAGCAGGGAGCAACCTCCCTGGGGGGCTTCATCTTGTCTTCGTAGTCTTCTTCAAGGCCCCCAGGACCATCCCTTCGGAGTCTGCTTCTTCTCTCAAGATCCAGGAACTCCTCCACGTCCAGGGCGTCGGTTTCTCTCCGGTGCCTGTAATTCCTGCGATTTTCTGAAGACGCCTCGGTGTCTTCCAAGGGTTCCTCGTCTTCAAGGTCGGCGTTAGGGTCTCTACCGTAGAACCTGGAGTCGTGTCTTCTTTCCGACCGGTGCTGCTCCTCGAGGTAAGACCTGGAAGAGTGGCTCTCGTACTCGCGGTCGACGTCGATGCTGCTCCTGCTGGAGGATTCCAGGTGCCAGGAATCCTCCCCTGACTCGTAGACCTTTCCTCCACCTTCGCGAGAACCTCCACCTAATGTGTACTTCCTCTCCTCCGTGTAGGTGTACGAGCTCTGGAGGGGGAACCTTCGGCCGTCCTTCAGCTGGATGTAGTCCTTGCCGTCCTGGCCCTTTATCAACTGGCCTTCCATCTTCAGGAACCTGGAGTCCCGGAACTCGTTCAGATCCCCGATACTCGGTTCACCGTAACTGTTCTGGAGAGGGAATCTGCTGCCACCTCTGAACTCGATGTACTCCTTGCCATCGCTGGACATCCTGAAGCGACCATCAAACAAGATGTACTGTCTACCCTGTCGGTTGAACGCGTTATACGCCGCGGCATCCTTGGACAAGGTGCTGAAGAACTTCTCAAGTTCCAGCAGAGAGCTGATGTTGGTACTGGCGTGAGAGCTGGAGCTGACCCCCTGGCTTCCGGACGTCTGGACCCTCTCCTCCACCCTGGTGTAGATGTTGGGCAGGAAGAACCTCCGACCGTCGTTTATCTGGACGCACTCCTTGCCATCTACGTCCACTATCCTGCCCTCCAGGTGCAGAAACGTCGGATCTGTGTTCCACTCGGTAGGACCACCAACCGCGTATGCATCTTCGCCGTACTGGTTCTTCAGGACGAACTTGGTGCCGTCCTTGAACTCCACGAATTCCCTGCCATCGGCAGCTACTCTGTACCTGGCAGGGAACCTGACGATCAGCTGTCCAGCTCTGTCCTCGACGTAGTCCCTCACCATGGAGGAGTCTTCCGACAAGACGCCGAAGAAGCTCTGCAGACGTCGCACGTAAGATACGTTCCTTGCTCTAATGTCATCCTGAGATCCACTTGCAGATTGCCCAGGGTGTTGCACCAGGACTCCGTGCTGGTAGACCCGATTTCCAGCCTCTGCCTTGGAAGGGTAGTGCTTTTTCGTCCCAAAGACGTACTCCCTGGTGCTCTCTTCTTGTCTGACCCGATCTTCTTCCAGGCGACGACGTTCCTGAGCTAGCCGATCTTCTTCCAGGCGACGGCGTTCTAGAGCGAGCCGATCCTCCTCCCGGCGACGTTGCTCCTCCTGGATACGCTTCAATTCCGCATATCTGTCCATCTGGCTGGTGTCAGACTCCGACAGAGATTCGGTCGTTCCTGCTGGGGTTTCCCTCCAGGTCGTCGTGGCCCTGTAGTTGTCTTCGGACAAAGAAGGCCGTGGAAGAAGTGGAGCACCTCCTAGGGTGGACGTCCCGGTCTCCATGCTTCCTCTCCCGGAATCTGTGTGGACGACCACTCGATGACCAGCTCTGTTGGTCACCTCTTCTCTGTGGTACGTCGTGTTCAAGACCTTGGAGTTGTCAACGTTTACCTGGAACGAGAGCATCCACTTTACTGCGAGCTCTGTGCCGACTATGGACCCAAATATCGGATGAATGTGCCCTTAAGAGGATATGAAAGGCGCTAAGAAATTTAATCGACGTCGATAAAGTAAAATCTATCTATACCCTTTTTGGTGGGAATGCCGTTTTGAATACTCAAGTGGGAACATAAGCTGGCGCGTCTCATTACCGTCATTTATATTTATGTTGAAGTCTTTTACAGTCTACGTTGAGAATTATACGAACCTAAGGGTTCTATATATCATTTCGGTAAAGTAATGATAAAAAGATCGATGTAAAACTGCCGAAATCCCGTGAATTCATGACTATCTATATTTTGACAAACCAACGGCGCCATCTGTGACGTTTAGCTGCAACTAAATTTTTGCTCTAAAAGCATGCGTTAGCCGCAAGACAAGCCAGCATTCTCTTGCAATCGTTGGTGAAAGTATTTACCAGATTTTCTCATCTGACTCTGTAATATTCCATTTCTACGGTATTTCAGATTGTTCGAGCTAGGTCCTGAAGCTCTTCATTTTCGATTCTAAGCCTCTAAGAAGCGTAAACATCTAAAACGCGCACGGACCACGCCATGTTGGTTCCAGTCCATGGTAAGTAAATAAATTTTGGATGAAAAGTGAAAATTTCATGAGTTTCAGGACCTACTTTAGGGCCTCCATATTCACGTGTAAAATTTGAAACGAATCGGTACACCCAATTCGGAGAGTACTTTCACCAACGATTTGACTTCTCGGATATATGTAGGCGGACTCTTTCGTATCCTCTTAAGTGTCAAGGATCGGGTGTAATAACTAACCTGAGGACCCTGCTTGTACATCTGGGTCCTCTGTCTGGTCCTCTCGATCCCAGAACTGCCCGATGAGTTCACCTCGCTCTCTTCTGTCTGCAGCCTCTTCCTATCGGCTTCGCTGAGCTCGGTACCTCTCTGCACGTTTATGGTGGACCCGGAGTTCGACTCCTCCAGGACCAATCCCGAGGAATCGGCGATATTGTAGTGCATCCTGCGCCTGTGGTCCAGCTGAAGAAGATCCCCCATTAAGTGACTCGAGTTCTGGTAGCGCAGGTTTGAAGCTACCTTATTCTACCTACCTTAAGACTTAGATAATTCGCGTTGGCAGACTCGCAAGCCATTGGGCCCGAGGTTTCTGGCTGCTCCAGAAGATAGACCAGCTCGTCCCCAGCTAGGGTTTGCGCCGGCCACACAAGGAACGCCTCGGCTTCCAGGATCCCTGAAGGACCCAGGTTCCTGATCGTGTAATTGTGGATCACGGCTGGTCCGAACTCCAGCTCCGTCTGGATGGCCTCCGCTGTGTAATTCTCGGGATTGTAGTAAAGATCCTTAGGCTTGCTCTCGCCCTCCACCAGCAGCTCCGTCTCTATCCAGATGGGCAGGGACAGGTGCTGGATGTTGTCAGCTGTTGTGTGCTCTTCAGGGTTTGTTGTGTTAACTTCCATCTCGAACTCGTAGGTCGGCTTCATGTCCTGCGAGGTGACCGGCTGCAGCAGGACCACGAAGTGTACCAGTTTCTTCTGTGGAAGGGGGTTGCCGATGTCGCACCTCAGGGTGTTGTTGTTGGACTGCTTGGGGGCCGAGCACTGGACCGGGATCTCCGTCTTGTCTATCCTCTCGATCTTGATGTAGTCGATCCCAGGAGGCAGCTGGAGGTTGTACATGGCCTCGAAGGCGTCCTCGCCCTCGTTCTGCACAAGGACGTCCAGCTCCAGTCGACGACCCGAACCCAGAAGGTACCTATCCACGTTGGGCCTAACTATCAGTTGCAGATCCGGCACGCAGACGTTGTCGGGGCCACAGTTCTTCCTGATGGAGAGGGTGTCCTTCCTGGACGTCGTCGTTCCAAGGACTGGCCGGAGGATCATCCTCGGATCTCTGGGACCGGTGTCCGAGAAAGACTCGTTGCTGAGACTCATCCTCATCTCTGCATCCAGAGACGTTAGCTTGTCCCTGATGTTGGGCGCCACGTACACCTTGACCGTCCTGCAGAACCGGACGTCGCGTTCTACTGTGATCGGGTGCGTCATCGTGTTCCTTCCTTCCAGCTCCAGGAAGAAGAGTCGCGGATTCTTCGACTTCTTCACGTCGAGGACGTACTGGATGTTGAAGTCGTGTCTCGGAAGGATCCCCTCCCCGGAGTAGGTGAAGCACGCCGTCAATGGGAGACACGTTACCGAGGTCCGGTCGGACAGCAGGCACTCCTTCGTGTCCAGGGAGATCAGCTTCGACTCGGAGTTGAACTCCACGTAGGAGTCCATCTTGATCACTGGCCGGGACCTAAAGAACATCGCCGTGCTCGAATCGTAGGACCCCACCACCATGTCCGGGTACAGGTTCCCGTCCAGGTCGAGCCCACCGGCTAGGGAGAACCCGAATGTCTCCACTGGTACTCGCAAGTCCTCGGCAAGGATCGCCTGGGAGTATTTCTCTAACACTCCTTCCCTTGACCCGTGGTATATGTAGACCGATCCCCGACCTTCCGCACCTCCGTAAGGAGCACCTACTGCGAAGTCTCCGTACCCGTCTCTGTCGATGTCACCCAAAGAGGCCAGGGCGTGGCCGAACCTGGCTCTGTTCACCGTCCCGTCCCTTGAAACAAGATGCTTCGTTAATTACCTCAAAAGTAATGGGCCGTCTCACTGAGCGCGTCGTTTGAGTTACACGGCGCGTCGCGTCTTAAGGTGAAGAGAATAATGGCCTGACGCTGAACGAGATATCGAAAGATTTTCAATACAAAAAAAAAGAAATGAAAATTAATAAGCGTTTCAGTTTTAAATAGCCTCCTCTTTCTTAGTATATGAACATACATGTGGTATTGATGTAGGAAATTTAATTAAAAAAAAATCCTCAGGGCACCAACCTCATGTCGACCTTGCGGAACTTCTTCGGGCCTCCACCCTGGTACACGACGTAGATCCTACCGGTCTCGTACGTCATCTCCGGGTTTTCGGAGACCGTGTACATGGGAGCCCCGATTATCAGGTCGTCGAGTCCATCCCCGTCGATGTCCCCGGAGGCGATTGCATATCCGAAGTACGCACCCATCTGCTCTCCCGTTACATTCTGCTGATTCGTCATGTTGGAGTTGAAGAGGATGACCTGGGGGCAGTCGGGGGTCACTCGAGGGATCCTTGGAGGGCCCGTTATCTGCGGCGATCCAGGATGATCTCTCGTCGGAGAGATCCTGACCTACCTTGCCGCGAAGACCGGCTCCTCTGGGCATCCCCACGGCGACTCCGCTGTCGCCGTCTCCGGTGAAGTCACCCGATGTCACGGAGTACCCCATGTAGCTGTCGTCCTCTTCGGCTGGACCCTCCTTCGTGAACATCACCCTAGGCCGGTGTTTCACCGATTGCGAAAATGTCTGACCTGCAAACCGAATCTGTACTTGTCGATAGGTCTGTCTGTTTAAAAGCCGAGACCCTCGTGCACTGTAGTGACGAATGGCACCTGATATAATCGGGATCAAACGGGCCAGATCGATTTTAAGGCGATGAGATAGGTGCCTTTTACTGATCGGTGATGACTCAATTATGTCGATGCGCTTTCCTTGTCTTTTTTTTTTTTTAAAGACGCGGGAATAGAATTTTCTCCTATTTTTCGGATATTCTGGCGCGTAGTTATTGCGGTACTGAGGTTTGACGCTCCAGATAATGAATTTCTTGAAAACGAATTTCATTTATTCTTACGGAATTTCTTGAAAACGAATTTTAGTTATTTTTACTGAATTTTTCGATAACGAATTTCATTTGTTTCTACGGAATTTCTTAAAGACGAATTTTAGTTATTTTTACTGAATTTTTCGATAACGAATTTCATTTGTTTCTACGGAATTTCTTGAAGACGAATTTCATTTATTTTTACGGAATTTCTTGAAAACGAATTTTAGTTATTTATACTGAATTTGTTGAGAACGAATTTTATTTATCTTTACTGAATTTCCTGAAGTCGAATTATATTATCTGGACTAGATCAGAACCAAAATGGCGCGCCGATAACATATTTTGCCATAATTTATAGAAGGCTCCAAAATAATAATTAAGGGTACCTAAAATTATTCTGAATAATTAAAAACAGTACTCTAATCAAAGGTGATACATTCCGGCCAGAAAAATGAGGAAAATATGTATCCTCGAGTTTGAAGTCTATGATATGAGTAGTATAAGTGTTTACAGAGCAGAACATTTAGTTCCCATTGAATGCAACGTTCTCTTAGAGTATAAAAGATCATTCATCTCCGTTTAAGATAATACATCAGGTAGAGTAATTTGTCATTACCGACAGCGATTAGGTTTCTCATCACCTTAAGGCCGGAGGATTGCTCCCTAAGTTTCTTTAAACTATTACAGTGCGTCACGAGGGTGCTCTTGGCTTTGTCTGGTGTCTAAGCGACCTAGTGATATTAATGTCGATTTATTGGTATGATTAATAATATCGTAGGCAGGCAAGATCGGAGTCAACGGTGGGTTACGTCTGCCGTAGAATTTGTGGCAATGCTTAGATCTTAGCTTCTCGATCGACAGAGCCGAGCAATCGAATTGTTGTGCGAGATCGAGTCCCCTTCTCGTTACATGTAATGCTAATTTTAGAGCCGATTACTTTGAGAAATGGTACTTTGGAATGCCGCCGATGAAGCGTTATCGGTGACTCACTAACGCGCGACGATTTGCACAGCTCTGCTTCTCGGAATGTTTCGCGGGTTGTGCATTGTGAAACGACGACCACTTGTTAAAAGAGGGGGACATTGTTGACTCCCGAATAATTGCGGCTCTGGCTGCTGGCAAGCTGTAAAAAGCGGGCCCACACCGGGTTAAACTCGTCCTTGGCACCTTTCCGACTGGTCGGGTCGCCATTACGTACTAGGCTCACGCATTGTCCATTTCTTTAATTTTTTAAAAATTATTAATAGTACTCTTCTCGGCAAATCGTTAAGCGTACACGCGGACCCTAAGTCCGCGTGACGGGTGAGAACGAATGGGAAGGATTGCGATGATTAGCGGGTCATTAAACTTGTTAATGATGACTCGAGTACGACTGGGAGAAAGACTAACCAAAGCCAGATCGTCAACCTGCCTGCGCGTTAATCAGTGTAACCGAAATATTAACCATCTCATCACATAGGCGTCGACTTTCGCTTACGTGGCTCTGGAGACATAAGACACGGTTGCGTCTCGAACAAGTTCAAGAGCCTCCGCCGAGCGCCGCGTCTCTTTACGACAAGCATCGCCCTACCGGGCATTTCATTTTACTTCGGCCACTGATACTGCTATTGAAAGTTGCGACGCGCCTTTTTGACACCCCCCATCGGCTTTATTAAGTTTTCCTCTTTAATTTGAGACCCGAACCATTGTAATCCGTGAAAGTATCCAGGAGTTATGTCGAATTGCAATCACACCGCGTGCCAATTTTAACGTCCCGGCCCCAAAATCGACGCTTATGGTACGTCACGAGACAATGTCAAGCAAATGGTAAGACGTGGCATGAGTGGGTGTAAATCTCCCGACATTTTCCAGAGACCTTTCCACTAAGGGGATGTGAAAATGGCATCCGCAGAGACTCAATTGTTCATACAACTTTTCGTCAAACTGGGTGGGCCGAATCGTTTCAAACTTTGCAAAGTGACCGTGGAGGCCATAAGGAAGGTCCTGGCACTCGTGAAATGTCATTGTTCATAAGAAATTGAAAAAATATCCATGAATGAATTGAAATAAAAATTGAAATTTCATGAGTTCCTGGACCTTCTTTATACCCTCCATGTTTATTGTAAAGAGTCGATTCGGTCCACCCAGTCTGGAGGAAAGTTTCATTGAGGAGAACTCATTGAGGTTACTTTCGCATCCCCTTAAAAGAAGGGAATCCGCTCTAAGGCGGGGCCTCTGGAATAAAGTATCGTACTCAGGCAACACGTGGGTTAATTCTGCGGCGATTCATTACTGGGCTCGGTACAGGGGATAAAACATATTAGCATAGGGCGGATAGGCGGTCTAGGCCTGCTGCAAATTTCGTGGTACCTTCGACGGTCCCGAAGAACGACCACATCGACGGTATATACGGGAATGACGATCGGCTGTTGATGGAGTACAGCTGACCTGTAACGAGTTCAATCACACTCTCCTGAATCTTTGACGTTATCAGTCGGAACGCTACTCGCATTATTCCCGATAAAACCACCCCAACGGGGGGACGTTTGTGACCGACATGAAAATTCGGCATTTCGTTCACGAGGGGCGAATTGTCCTGCAGGGGAACGTGACTTTTCGGACTTTTGGGGACTTATCGTACCATCCGGAACACGTGGTTCCCCCTCTAGAGGGCACTCCGCCTAAAAGCCGAACCCGACGTTTTATTAATTAGACCTCGAGGAGGAATCTCACCTTGCCAGTACCAACTCCCTGGAGCGCCGATGAACACTCTCTCGCCGTCCTGAAATCAGGGAAAAGGCCCTCGTTAGTCTGGATTAATCGCTGGTTTTTCGGATAACGAGGCCACGCATGGGCCGGCTTCAATTCATCGCACATTCCGACCCGATGGACGGGCCCTTTCGGGGACTTATCGGTGACTTATGTGCAAACTCCTCGAGGACCCTTGAGGGCCCTTGGATTAAACCGCTGGGCCGATCGAGACTGCCCCCGACTGGTCTTTAGAGAGGGCATTCTCTGAAGAAGACCTCGGAAAGGGACTTCCAGACCAGGAGATCCCAATCGCCTTAAGGTGACATGACAGTGACGTATAAAGGGTCTCGTTTATGAAATTTTTTTCATAAATAGGTGTTTCGAATCGAAGAAAATCTTATCACGTGACTGTAGAGGCCTTAGGAAGGTCTTGACAATCGTGAAATTTGTTCGTGGACACTTTTTTTAATTTGCTATAAAAATGAAATTTCATGGGCATCGCCTTAAGGTGATATGATAGTGACGTATAAAGGGTCTCGTTTATGAAACTTTTCCCAAATGGCCGTATCGAATCGAAGAAAATCTTACCACGTGACCGTGGAAGCGTTAGGAAGGTCTTGACAATCGTGAAATTTAATTTCGTAAAATTTGTTCATGGATTCATTATTTAATTTGCTATAATAATGAAAATCGCCCCTTGACATGCCTTACTTTGGATGGTGGTTTCACCCCTTAAAGGGTTTAATGGCAGATGAAAAAAAATACGTGTCTCTTAGTTTTTAGTCTACTATAACATATTATAAAAGAAATGAAATCGGAGAGATCGACCTGGGATACCTTCCTTGTAAGTAACGAATCCGTGTCAGACCTCGGACCAGCGTGTAGGACCTACTCAGACTTATCACGAATTAATTCTATGGGGATTTTTCCTCGCTTTTCTCCGCACTCCTGCTCGGCGGGCATAACGCAAGGCGCACGCGGAAACGGATGCTCCGGGAGATTAATTTTTCCTTAATATTCCAGGCGATAACGGGCATTTTCTGTCCGCCCCTCGTTGTTCACTCCGTACGATAAACCACGGGCGTGCGTTAACGCACACGCACGGCGCATGTTAATGAAACCAAGCAGCGGCCTTCGAGATAAAGACTTCTCGGTAGAGTTGACTCCATTATCGCCGGAGAGAAATCATAAATTAATCTCCCTTGGAGGGAACGAGCTCGGTCTTCTCCGGGGAGAGTGGAGGAGCCGAAGAGAGGAAGAAAGAGTTCCGAGCGAGTTATCGCGGCTCGACTTTTTTCCATGGACGCGAAATGAAATTAGAGGCCCACTTGAGGTTTGATTTTTTGGCTAGATGCCCAAAGAGAAATTAAAGGTCCACTTGAGGACTCTGAAGGGCCCAGAAGGGCTGTCGACTTTTCGATATCGCACTGATAGTTCCCAGAGCCAAGGAGCTGTACACTCGGAAATGAGGCACAACGATGACTCGCTTTGATAATTGATTGGCATTGATTTCGTATGATATGTTTGGACATTTCGTACACTTTCGAGTAGAAACTATTTACTGACTTTAGTAAAATTCTTTTCAATAGATATTTTTAAGTGTACAGCCGTCCCTCAATTTACACAGAGTATCCGTCCCACGTGGATTAATTTAATGCGAATGAGAATCGCGTAAAGTCTGTCAGTACAGGAGATGAAGTTTTGGAAATGAAAGCGAGTGCATGTCAGTTTTAGAAATACATATTTATTTCAAATGGCTTAACAAAAAGGAAAAGAGGAAATAATCACGTTTCTAAACCGCGCAAATTGTGTTATGATTTACCGCGTAAAAAAGAGACTCGCGTAAAATTAATGCCGCGTGAATTGAGGGAGGGGTGTATAACGATTTTATAATTTGGTAGAGCAAATCTCTGAAATTCGCACACTTGCGGGCCCTTGAGGTCCCTTAAGGTCCCTCTTGAACCTTAAGCTTTCTATATTCAGGCGTGTAAAAGAGACGAATGTACCCTTCACACATTGTCATGGGACAAATATTTGTTGCACGTAATTGTACCAAAAATTTCGAAATATTGAATTCTTAAATACAGGGACATTCTTACGGGCTTAACAAACCCAAACTTGGTATCAACACATTCGCGACCGGAAAATTTTTTCCGTTTCAAATACTGAGTACCGGCGAAAATAATGAAATCTTGAAACTAGTTGCCGCAAACGTGTATCATGTATTGTTATGGACGTGAATTCACGTCAGCGGCAACCAGGAATGGAAATTAAAATGACGTGAATTCACGTCAGCGGCAACCAGGGATAGAACTTGAAAAGACGTGAATTCACGTCAGCGGTCACGAACGTGTTAAGTACTCGGTGGCGGTTCAAGCATACATATACAGGGTACGTAAGGGTATATTTGGCGCGAAACCCTACGGGGTTTCCTGATGTTGAAAAATCTTCGACTACGCGTGAGCTGCATTTAAACCACATTATTAAGTGTACTTCTAATCAGCCCTATCTAGGTGCTCGGGGCGCTCTTGATCCTTGGGAACCTAAAACCTTCTACGGCCGAGCGTGCAAAAGCGATGAGTGCACGCTTCACGCGTCGTAAAGGAGTAAGTGCCTGGTTAACCGCGGCCGTAAAGGTGCGGCGTTATCGGGGCCCGGAACCGATCGATCGGCTCGGACGGTTCCGGGATTTTTCGAAACGCAGCACCGATTTTTCCCTCGGCAAGAGTCCGTGCTTTCTACCGGCCCCTTGCACTTTCCTCGCCCGAGGGTCCGCGCGAGGTCAGTCGATGACTCGGCATTGGATTTCGCGGGGTCCGAGAGACGATTCGCGCGAGATGTCCGGTCGAGAGAGTCCCAAGAAATGAGAAGAGGAGGCCCGACAAACCCTGGGACGACCGGAGGCCCGGCAGGTCCCACGTCGTCCCGAGAGGGGTCACTTCCGGGGTCGAAGTGGAGGATCCTCGAGGCGTGCACCCTGGCGCAAGCACTCGCGAGCACTTTCTCGGTGCGCCCACGCATGTCGGCGATCCCTGGTGGACGAGGATGGTGGAGGAGGTTGGGCCCCTCGCGAAAGGGGCCCGACTTCCTGGCGGAAAAGGGCCCGCTTTAGACGCCGACCTGGCGGCCAGCTCCCATGAGAAATGCCCAGCGTTCGCGAAACGACGCTGCCACGCCGGTAGGAGACCGAGTGGAGGCGCGTAGGTGGTCCCTACATACGGAGGGAACATGCCACGGTGACAGAACGAAATGTCCGAGCCTTAAATGGAGCCGGGATATTCCCTGGTGCGGCTGGAGGTGCATCGAGGGGTGGCGAACCTGGGGAACGCGCTACCAAGTTGGCCTCACCTGCGGCCCGAGGACTCGGATCGCTTTTCCGTTGGCTACCTCTCCGATTAAGGGAGTCTTTTACCTGTCTTTCAACTTCTTGAAGAATGTTCAGCCTGGCACCATTGGTTTGTACAGAATTAACAAGAATTAACAGGGCGAGTGGTTGCAACGCGCTACTATGTTGGCCTCACCTGCAGCCCGAGGTCTCGGATCGCTTTCCCGTTGGCTACCTCCGCAATTAAGGGGATCTTTTACCTATCTTTCAACTTCTTGAAGAATATTCGGCCTGGCACCATTGGTTTGTACAGAATTAACCAGAATTAACAGAAGGAGTGGTTGCAACGCGCTACCAGGGCGGCCTCACCTGCGGCTCGAGGTCTCGGATCGCTTTCCCGTTGGCTACCTCCACGATTAAGGGAGTCTTCTACCTGTCTTTTAACTTTTTCAAGAATTTCCGGCCTGGCACCATTGGTTTGTACAGAATTAACAAGAATTAACAGGAGAAGTGGTTGCAACGCGCTACCAAGTTGGCCTCACCTGCGGCCCGAGGTCTCGGATCGCTTTCCCGTTGGCTACCTTCCCCGATTAAGGGAGTCTTCTACCTGTCTTTTAACTTTTTCAAGAATTTCCGGCCTGGCACCATTGGTTTGTACAGAATTAACAAGAATTAACAAGAGGAGTGGTTGCAAAGCCCGTCGTGAACACATTGGATCGCGATCGACGTTGCTTAAGGCAATATGAAAGTCACAACTGAGGGGGAAGTCGTTTATGAAACTTTTCTCTGAGCCGGATGTATAGAATCATCTGAAATGTCACCTCGTGGAGGTGGAGGGACCGAGGAAGGTCCCGACACTCATGAATTTTCAATATTCGAACAGATTTTTACAAGTAGGGAAGTTTCATTAACGAGACCCCTCGGACGCCACCTTCATATTACCTTAAATTTTGACAATGTCACGAGAAACAATGCTTTCAATATGGCATGACCGTTTATTGGGGTTTGGATAGATTGCTTTTTTCGTGGTATTTAAGAATTGATGGCTGACAGGGAAGAAGGTGGTTCCGATGGGTACCCATAAAAATTACTCGCTTGTCACGCACCTGCACCTGAATGTTACCGACGCACAGGTCATGCTCATGCACACCGGAAGTATCTCCCCTGCTCGAGCAATTCCGAGTTAAGTGGAGTTTTTTAAAGGAACATCAAGACTGTTGGGCCCTATTAGAAAAGTTAAAGATTCCTCGAGTCCGAGTTGATAAATCTAAGGACAAGGCTTATGACTTCTGATAAGTCTTAAATATGTCTTAAGTTTTATAAATATTTTGACGTTTTATATATGTGAAATGACCCTTTCATATCCCCTTAAGGTGATAAGGTGTCATATACATAACAAAAAGTGAAAATATTGATAAAACTTTTCTCCAAAGTGGGTGCACCAAATTATCTGAAACTTTAACACATGATTATGGAGGCCCTAATAAATAACGCGCTGCTCATGAAATGTCTTTTTTCGAAAGAAATTTTGTACTTATCTCGGACAAGAGGGAAATAATCTTAATTTTTTTTCGAAAAATGAAATTTCACGGGCAGCGCGTTCCTCCTTAGAGCCTCCATAATCACGTGTTAAAGTTATAGATAATTCGGTGCACCCAGTTTGGAGAAAAGTATTATAAACATTTTCACTTTTTGGTATGTATATATCACCTTAAAGCCAGCTAAACATTCTATGGTGCAATCGCTCGAGATGAGTCAACCGCGTGGGGAATTACAGAGGATTGCACGCGTGTACCCCTGGTGCATCCGTGTAGAAGTGCGCCGGCAAGTCGGGCTGCAGTTTGCAACTCCGAGCTCGAACGCTAAACCCCCCGCCGAGGGGCCGGCTCGTGTGGTAACACGGGAAAAATTTGCAACTGGAACAATGGCGGTCACATAGTAGCCGCGATCCTGTCCCTACACGAGGAGGACACGACCGGCACGAGTTGTGTTCTGGCGCCGATCGCAGAAAAGGCCCCCGGGGCTCAGATTGAAATATAACGCAGGCCAAATATGTATGCGCGACACGGCCTGCCAGGCGGAATTTATGCGTGCAGAACTGGCCGCTTATGTGCGGACCCGGGTTGCGGTAGCGGAGGACGTCTCGAAGCCGCTGGAAAATCGGCCTAACCAGGACGATGGATGGACGGTGGACCAACCAGAACGCCATCGGCGCTCGACCACCATTTCGGGATCCTGGGAAGATTTAAACGGCGAAGACGTGCGCATTTGTCGTGGGAACGCTGGGGATAACGATTCGGTGATGATCGATGGGCGGAACGCTGATCATCTGCGGAGCTGGACCTAGGATGTGGATGATGACACGGAAGAGGCTTTGTAGAAAATGCGAGATGAAGACCAGGATTTCAGGATGGGAGACCACCATTTTGGGATCCTGGGAAGATTTAAAGAGCGCATTTATCGTGGGAACGCTGGGGATAACGATTCGGTGATGATCGATAGGCGGAACGCTGGTCATCTGCGGAGCTGGACCTAGGATATGGATGATAACATGGAGGAGGCTTTGCAAAAAGTACGAGATGAAGACCAGGATTTGAGGATAGGAGACCAATATTTTGGGATTCTAGGAAGATCTAGAGGGCGCATTTATCGTGGGAACGCTGGGGATAACGATTCGGTGATGATCGATGAGCGGAACGCTGGTCATCTGCGGAGCTGGACCTAGGATGTGGATGATAACACGGAAGAGGCTTTGCAAAAAGTGCGTGATGAAGACCAGGATTTGAGGATGGGAGACCACTATTTCCGGTTGCTGGGAAGATTTAGAGGGCGAAGACGTGGACATTTGTCGTGGGAACGCTGGGGATAACGATTCGATGATGATCGATGGGCGGAACGCTGGTCATCTGCGGAGTTGGACATAGGATGTGGATGATAACATGTAAGAGGCTTTGCAAAAAGTGCGAGATGAAGACCAGGATTTAAGGATGGGAGACCACCATTTTGGGATCCTGGTAAGATTTAGAGGATGAAGATGTGCCCATTTGTTCTGGAAACGCTAGGGGCAACGATTCCATGATGATCGATGGATGGAACACCGATAATCTCCAGAGCTGGACCTAAGATGTCGACGGTGACACTTGTCACAAAAGAGGCCTTGCAAATGGTGCAAAATGAATACCAGGATTTGAGGATGGGAGACCAAGATCAAAGCTTGAATATGCAAGACCTAGATCAAGACCAAGATCATGATAGTCCTGGTCTTCGTGGTGCATTTGCTCGTCACAACGGGGACATGGATGCCAGACAAGATGAATTATTTTCATATTGAGGAAATCGTAGGTAAAAAATTGTGCACATTACCGTAAAAGGGCACTTTCTAATAGGAAAAGGGTCTAAGTCTAAAGGGGTGCCCAGGCATCCCTAAGATTCTGATCATCTGAACAGTGGACCAACGTTCCCGTCCACGTTAGAGCTGGACCAACGTCCTAGGGTCCATCGGAGGTACCAGAAGACTAACATCACGCGCGAGCCGAACATTTGTCTCATGACTCGGACAGAAACGTCGGGTTTAGTCTAAGTAGAATCGAATTTGCCTAAAATCGACGCGGTCCAGCCAGCGGGACCGGCTGAAACCCAGGCTTGCTTCTGCCCATACGCGATTGCGCGAGCCTGAGCCTATTTACCATTGAATGGCGGCCCGGCGGCGCTCTACCTCGCGACTTACATGCATTAAACATCCACTCTATGCGGACAATTCTGAATTATACATCCGAGAGATAGCTGCCTGAGTGCCCGCGGATTGTCCCACTATTTCTTTGGAAAGTCCAGCCACGGGGCCCATCGCTGGACTCGGGAAACTCCGAATCCAGCGAGGACCCATTTGAGGTTATGTCAAGGGTCGCCTGGAAGAAATCCGCGCATAAATAAATATACCGATACTAATGTTTAGCCTTAGGGAGCAGGATAATCACGGGTTTAATGCGCTGCAATGGACGTTCGATGGACTTCAAAGAGATTTCTGCAATCGCGGGGCCTCAGGCTCCTGGACTCTCTGGGATGCGTGCGTTCGATCTCGCCAGGGTGCGAATAGGAAGAATTCGCATTCCTGGCCATATTGGGCACGCAGTCGACTCTTTGCTTAAGGCCCGACTCCTAACTCTCCTACGACACGGCTCGGAGTTCGCGCTTTATGTATTTCTATCCGTGGTCAGGACCTATCCGCCGGGGGAGGACGTTGGGTAACCTCGGCTGCTGGACCAACAGCATCCGATAAACCCGTCCTCCGCCAATGGTCTCCTCGTTGCAACTCCTATTCATCCTCCATCTTACCTTCGAGACTGCGGCGCCGATTCCGGCCTGGCACGATCCCTGCCTGTGGTATCCCCAGTGCCCTGCAACGGAAACGCGCAATTATTGCGTATCGCTCCTTGCCTCACGATCCCGAATAAAGACGTCATCCGTCATATCTGGCCCCATTGTCCAGAGACCATAATATACCCAATGCTTCGGGTGACCAGGGGCCCTCTACAACAGCCATGAGCTAGTCGTCTGCATTCTGGACTACTGCGGCTCTGCCAACGGAGCCAGAATAGACCGTCCGTCGAAAAACGGACCGCACAATGGTTTTCCATTCTTATCTCCTCCTGTGATTTATCACCTATCTTATCGTTAGCAACGGTTAGTAAAGCGGGCCGAGACGAATCCAACGAGCCGTCGCGCGGCCAATTCCGATCACTTAGTCGGAAGTTATTGCAATTTTATTTCCGTTCGCGGAGCGGTCAGGCGCGGCTCGCGCGGGACTCAGGCGCAGCCTGCGCAGAACTCAGGCGCCGGCTGCGCGGCATTCAGGCTGCTGCCGCTTTGAAGTACAACAGCTCGCGTCCTATTTCTCCGAACGCGACGTGCCTCGGCTCGTTGGATTCGTCTCAGTCTCCTCTACGATCTGAGAGGAGTTAAACCGAGCCTATTGCGGGAAGTACCTAATCCAGCTTTGCGTCCTACGATTTAAGTGACCCATCAATCGCGTTCATTGGGCGAGTTTTACTGTCGGGGGACAGTGGACGCAGATACGTACGAGGGATGAGGTTCAATGGGACGCTGTATAATGGACGCAGGGTCAGTGCCATTCTGGCCACGCCGCTACCCCGCGTCTATATGTGTACGCCTCCACACGAGGAGATGCCCCGAGTGTGAGAGAGTGTATCCGGTGCACTAGTCTCTCACTTATCGAGCCGTCTTCAGCATGCGAGCTCACCAGATGGGCGGACGACTGGAGAGATCCTCGACTTGGGACCGACTCGACACCCGTGCAATTACACATCGATCAGTCCAGCGGACATCGTCGAGTCGTGTCAATGGAAGGAATTCGATTGGCTCGATGCGATTCAGCCCATTGTCGCGACAATGAAAATGCGTTCCGCGAAACCCCGCCGGACGGACGTGTACGTCTTGTCAGCTCGTTGGAGGCCCTCGCGCGACTCCGTCTGCAGTCTTGGCGATTTCCCTTTTAATTCTTTTTTCCCTTCTTCTTCTTCAACCGAGACCGCGCAAATTCTCACCTGCACGTAAAGCCACGAGCACGAGGAGTACGTAAGGTCGGCGCAACAAGTGGGGCAATTTAGCTCCTGGTTTCTGTCGTCCATTGTTGCAACTCGGTATGCCTTCCAGGCCGGTCTAATCGTTCTCACCGGCTTGCGATTTTCCGCGTTCGCCTCGGGAAGGAAAAAAAAGAATAAAAGAACATCGACTTATCTGATTGGAACCATTCGATTCGCGGTTTTTTCTTTCTCTCTCGGCCCGATACGATCGACCGACGCGTCGAAATCCAACCACGCTCTCCCTGATTTTCGAACAATGCACCTGCGACCTCCAGGGCTGCGATACGATCGCTTGGCCGCTCTTCCGCATTTCTCGGTCGCGCAATCGACGTCCAGGCCTCGATAATAGAGTTATTAATACGGAATCGGCACGCTTCAACGGGGAAGCTCTTAAAGCACGTGGGCGCGTGTGCGTAAACGGCAGTGCGTAGAATGAATGAACCCACTGTCGTCCGCATCCGCAAGGCAACCTGCACCGGCCCCCTGGCTGCACTTTCGAGGCTCTAGATCGAATCCTTCGAAGATGAATCGGAAGAATCCCTTCACCGGACGGACCAGAGTCGAAAATGTTTATCCGACAAACTGCATGAACGCGGGGGAGAAATTCAAGAATTTAATTAACCCTTTAAACTAGGAAAACAATTATAGTGCAAAGGGCTAATATATTTATCAGTTAGATTTATTATGTCGTTCTTTAATGACTAGTGGCTTGAAGATTTAATTTCGATTCGTGTATCAGTGTGCGCCGGCAGTTGGCATTTCCTTGGTCGTTTTAAAAACGAAAGAATGAAACGGGTCATGCCGTTTTTTAACTTAATGAGACTGAAATTTCTGTTAGCAAATTAAGGCATAAAAAATAGAGGTACAATCACATATTGATAATGCAACTGGGATCGGGACAAGACAGCAGCTGGTACTTCCCTGGTTGCTTCAAAAACGAATGAATCAACCGAGTCGCGCCATTTATTAACTTAATGAGACTGAAATTTCTGTTAGCAAATTAAAGGATATAAAAATGGCGGTTCAATCACAGATTGATAATACGACTGGGATCGGGACAAGACGGCAGCTGGCACTTCCTTGGTTGCTGCAAAAATGAAAGAATCAACCGAGTCGCGCCATTTTTTAATTTAATGAGACTGAAATTTCTGCTAGCAAATTAAAGGATAAAAAAATGGAAGTTCAATCACAGATTGATAATGCGACTGGGATCGGGACAAGGCGACAGCTGGCTCTTCCTGGGTCGGTCCAGAAACGAGAGAATCAACCGAGTCGCGCCATTTTTTAACCAAACGAAGTTTCTGTTGGGAATTTAACCCTGTAAAAAAATAAAGGTTCAAACACAGATTGATAATACGACTAGGATCGGGACAAGACGACAGCTGGCACTTCCTGGGTCGGTCCAGAAACGAGAGAATCAACGGAGTCGCGCCGTAACGCGTCTCGCCATCTTAAGAGGGTGAATTAACGAGCGTTCTCCAGTCGCGAGGACGGGAGCCTCGCCGATCGGCGAGGTTTGATCATAATTCAAAGCAGGATCAAGTGCTAATTGGCCTCGTTAGCCGGGCGTCGAGTTAGCCTCGATGTGGCGCCTTCGGTTTAACGCGATTTTAACGCCCCACCGGACGCGGAACTCCTGGCCGCCTCGGAAACCGCAGCTAGAAGGCCGCGTTCGGTCCGGGAAAGGTGATAACTACTTTGGAAGTAATGGAGACAAGTAGCGACAGATGGGATCACGCTCGAAAGTCGGGAAAATTGCTCGGTAAATCTCGGGGAGCTTTTGACGGATCCCTTTTTCGTCCCGGCTGCGGTTGTCCGGCTTTTTTCCGCGCGCGTCTCGCATAGGACGCGGCGATGTGGGAAAAAGAGATCCCGCCATCTCCGGGAAGCGTTTCGCCAGCTTTTCTCTACACTTAGTCGGGTGATATTTCTCCCAGTCTAGAGATAGTCCCGAGTAAGTTGGTTAATTGCCGACCCGCCATTGGAGCGAATATCCCGGCGATGAGCTCACGGAGATTCCCTTCCGCGATTCGCCTGGCGACTCGCCAAATCGCGAGTCGCTTGAATTCCGCTTTCGAAAGAAGGTTTCCCCCTTTTGGGAGAATTTTTTGAGAACCCTCGGCCATTGGGGGACTGCTAAAAGTAGATCGTGCTTGAGATCACCTAATTAGGGATGAGTCAAATCGGTTATGATTTTATAGGGAGAGATTAAGATCGTGTCCTGACCATATTTGCAAGACTGAAACTGATCTTGCTTGTCACTAGAGGAAGCAAGATCTATCGGCGACAAATTGGAGGAGAACTCGTTGCAGCTGAAGTGTTGAAGGGAAGGCGTCGTCCCTCTAACTGAGTTCTCCAGGAAAAGAAGTCACCGAATCCTCTTTTAGAGCTCCCTAAAAAAAAAGCACATTCTATTTTTTTGGCTTCCTTTAGATACGTCAATGGTTTATCAAAATTTATCGTCAGGAAATCGGAGAGAAATTCATGCCAGCTGAGATCCTGGGTGGAAGACAAAGTGTCGTTCCTCGGATCAAGGGATTTTCTAAGAAAAGAAGTCGCCGAGTTCGCTTTCGAACCCCTTAAAAAAGCCAACTTCCCTTTTTTGAGGATCCCAATTAGGAACCTCGATGATTAATTGAAATTTATCGGCGGAAAATGGAAAATTTATCGAAGGAAAACTCATTCCAGATGAAGTCCTGGGCGGAAGTCAAAGTGTCGCTCCTCCGATCGAGGTTTTTACGGGCAATAGAAGTCGCCGAGTTCGCTTTCAAAGCCCCTTAAAAAAGCCAACTTCCCTTTTTTGAGGACCTCCACAAATAACCTCGATGATTAATTGAAATTTATCGGCGGAAAACGGAAAATTGATCGAAGGAAAACTCGTTCCAGCCAAAGCCCTGAGCGGAAGTTAAAGTGTCGCTCATCCGATCGAGGTTTGTTCCGGAAAAAGAAGTCGACGAGTTCACTTTCGAAGTCCCTTAAAAGAGCCAACTTCCCTTTTTTGAGGACCTCCACAGGGAATCGATGATTCATTGGAATTTACCGGCGGAAAACGGAAAATTTCTCGAAGGAAAACTCATTCCAGCCGAAGCCCTGGGCGGAAGTCAAAGTGTCGCTCCTCCGATCGAGGTTTCTTCGGGGAAAAGAAGTCGCCGACAAAGGGGGTCCCTGTCGGAAGAGGGCGGGGAGTGTCGGATTACTCTCCTCCCGGAGGTGGAGATTCGGGGAGCAGGGATGCTGCGAAAGGAGTCGACCCGGGATGCCAGTTCACCCCGGTGTCGAACACGCTGGGGGGCCCACGTGCTTTCGGCGCCGCCTGGAACAGATTCGGAACCATTTGTCGACAACCCGAACATATTGCAGGCCCGATAACCCGGCGCGATAACGTCCGACGTGTTACTCTCTCTGAGGTACTTAGGGCCAGGGCTCGGGATGCATTCTTGATGCAGGTTATCGTCCCGAGACGACGAAAACCACTTCGAGCCGTACGTGACGACAGGGGAGAGAGCTGCGATTTCTCCTCCAAAAATGGCGGAGACCACCTGACGCTCGTACATCTTTCGGATTATTTTTTTCGGAGTATTTTTCGAATATTCCCGCACTGAGAAAAAAAAACATTTCGCTTGATTCAAAGAATTATACATCGNTTTATATTTATATTTATTTATTTATTCCCGACAAGAAATATTTTTCTCTCAGGATGTTACTCCCCAGGATACGTTATTATTGTTGTTTCTTCATCACCAGACTTCTTTTCGATGTTTTGTGTATATTTATTCCTTTTTATTCACACTAGTCGAGATCCCAAAGAAACGTCAGATTGAGTAAACCCAATTAGTTTAAATGAACGTTAATTTTTCTTCTTAACAAAACGATTGTTTTTCACAATGACATATGATCCAGGCAACAATATGTATTTATTTCCGTCAAGAAATATTCTTTTCTCAGGATGTTACTCCCCAGGTTACGTTATTATTGTTGTTTCTTCGTCACCAGACTTCTTTCCGTTGTTTCATGAACATTTACTCCTTTTAATCGACATTACACGGGGTTTTTTTCGGTGGTCAAAGTTGCTTAACTTCGTTGTTCTTCCGAGAACCAGTGTTTTTTAATGTGGCATGAGCGTTGATAATTCCCTAGGATAGAAGGTCCTGAAGAGGAAGTCTGGAGGATCGCGTTGTTGGATGTCCTTCGTCGCTAGGGACACCTTCAACAGGAAGTATCCAATTACGCGGTATTTATGGCTCCTTCAAGAATCAAGAACTCCCCCTGCGGCTCTTCCAGCCTCCCTGTCGAGGGCATTTTTTACGGGGACTTTTCTGGACCCTCTTCCTCCCTGAAATCCCAGCCCTGAGGGGAGGAGGAACTGTTTTTTGTCCCTCGCTTGCGACACTGCTCCAAGGCACGTATTATTTTAGCTCTGTTTGTATCGGAGATCCGAAGACGCGTGCCGGTTTCCTGCCTCGGCTAGAAATCACGGAGAAGGAAGGGAATTGTTTATATCACTCGCCTCGGCATTATTTACGCTCTGGATTTGAGCCTCTGCAGGCGCTGCAGAACTCTCGATCCCGAAGGATCGACCCAGCTACGAGTTTCCTCGTAAACGTGGCTAAAATAAGGACTAAACCTGCCAGAGGTCTGCGATAAATCCCGAGGGAAGCTCGACATGGATGGTGGCCAACTCCAACGCCTCGAAGGACTCGGAGGACTCGGAGAAGAACCTACGCCATTTCCCTCCACTCTTTTCCAAGGGATATATAAAGCCATTTCCGAATCGAAATTGTCGACTACACTCCTGTTAAATCCTCCATTTTTCTTCCCATTTAGTAGATCATCATTTTCTTTCATTAGAAATGTCTGTCTCATACACATATTACATACGTCTCTGCAACGTTTCGTATACATACACGTTACGTGGACGTTAAATCTACTTTACCATTCACTACGCCGTTGTATATCAGTTATTAAGCGAATATTGTGACATACAATGTTGGTGTTATGGGTTTAAGATCATTTAGTAGATCATTTTCTTTAATTAGAAATTTCAGTCTCACGCATATTACATATGTCTTTGCAACGTTTCATATACATACACGTTACGTGGACGTAAAATCTACTTTACCATTTCCTACGCCTTTGTATACCGCTGTTATGAAACAAATATTGCGGCATACACATGTCGGTATTATAGGTTTCAGATCATTTAGTAGATCGTCATTTTCATTAATTAGAAATTTCAGTCTCACCCACCCATTACATACGTCTCTGCAACGTTTCATATACATACATGTTATGTGGACGTAAAATTTACTTTACCATTTTCTGCGCCGTTGTATAACACTGTTATTAAGCGAATATTGTGACATACAATGTTGGTGTTATGGGTTTAAGATCATTTAGTAGATCATTTTCTTTAATTAGAAATTTCAGTCTCACCCACCCATTACATACGTCTCTGCAACATTTCATATACATACACGTTACGTGGACGTAAAATCTACTTTACCATTTCCTACGCCTTTGTATACCACTGTTATGAAACAAATATTGTGGCATACAGATGTCAGTATTATGTTAATAATATATAACCGTAATGCTGACAGATTTGTAGCGATATTACGGAGTAGTAATGATGTCATACAATATCCATCCATCTCTTGAATAACTCTCGTTACCCATTGTTATTTCAGTGTTATCTAACTATGACATAGTGCGTTTTGTGGGTATGGAATAAATAATATCGATTTAAAAAAGGGCTTTTTAAAGCTAAGGCCTAATGAGCATCGTTTAAACGTCCGTCGTAGTGAATACTATAACTCGTTGTGGACACTTTGTTGTAATTCATGTCATTTTTACGCTCGTATGGCTAAGGAAATAGAAGCCGATAATTTGGGATACTTACTCGTCCTGCAGGGAGAAAATTCCTGGGAATTTGTGAAGTTGGTCACCCAACAAGTGCCTACTGGGTCCCTTCCAGCCATCGTCACCGAAAACCACACGTATCTTGGAGCGCAGGCCTGTAAATAAAAAAGATATAAATCATACGAGTCGTTATAATCTGTTCAGTGGTCGCAATAAAACCTCTCGGAGTTTCGGGAGGAATTTTTAACACGTGTTATCGCCATTGCGAATCCGGGAACCTTGACTTTCGGGCGGTCGTCTCGCAGTCGAGGTCTCAGCGGGCGCCGCACAATTATCGCGAGTTAAAAGGCGTTTAGCCGACTCGTTGTGCAACGCGGCGAGATCATAGCTGCATTTAGATGCACCAGCACAGCCGAGCCGACATTCGGAGTGCTGCTGCAACAGCCACTTTGGTATCTTTGCCGATGCCTTGGACGAACTCTTTGATGCAGCGCTTCTGTTCGAAGATCTGATGGACCACGCTTCAAATCTTCAGACTTCCGCGTGACATGGACTAGATAACAAATGATAACTTGTACGAAGTAGTCTAGAAAATTCTCCGAAACACTTTTGTGCTGAAAACGTGGACAAATCGATAGACACTTTGGTATCTTTGTCGATGCCTCAAATGTGCTCTTTGATGCAGAGCTTCTGTTCGAAAGTCTGATGGACTACGCTTCAAATCTTCAGACTTCCGCGTGACATGGACTCGATAACAAATGATAACTTGTACGAGGTTGTCTAGGAAATTTTCTAAAATACTTTTAGTTGAAAATGTGGAAGAATAGATAGCCACATTGGTATCCGAATCCGAAGATCTAGGGACTATTAAGGTCTTGTTTATCATTATATATATTATATATGATAACATGGACTCGACCAGGTTTTGTATTACCAAATCAAGGTTTTTACGAAATTCTACTGTAAACCGAAAGGAGAAAAAAAAATGAAAACATGCCATTTTTAAGACATAAAGTAGAATTGTATGGAAGTAAGCTCTCTTTAAATTCCCTTAAAATCCCTTTAAGGCGATAAGAAAGTGTCATCTGGCACTTTACCACGTGATAATCGAGTCCCTAAGGAAAATCTCGTCGCCCATAAAATTACCTTTTTTATAGCAAATTTATCAAATGAAATTTCATGAATGCGAGGACTTTCCCAATAGCCTCCACGTTCCCGCGGGGATATTCCAAAAGATTCGGTACATCTAATTCGGAAGAAAGTTTCATAAATGAGACTTCTCCTTTATCACTTTAAGGCCCACGATTAGAGGCCCTCTAAGATTAAAATTTCTACTCCAGCGAGTAAGATATGAATCCGAAAGTTTGGGACATGCCAATAGTGACTGCTCTAGGATTCTGCAAGTGAAACTCTCGGGAAATCTGCATTTTTCCCGGGGGACTGCACAAACTCCGGATGTACGTAGGGCACTGCAATCAGATCTTATCAGCCACGGAGCAGCAATTACCGTGCTCGTTGCCGTGTTCTTGGCATTATTATCCTCTAAGCGAGTCTATACAGAATGCTCCTAGTGTTACCGGCGATCGCGGGAATGAAATTCCCGACGGCCTTGCTTCGGTGTGTTTCGCGAATTCTCCGCCGAGAGAGGGGAATTCTCGCTCCTAATCTGCATCCCCGGTCTCCATTAACATAATCATACATCCGCACGTGTTTCAAGGAACGAAACCACGAGGCCTGCCTAGCGGGCTCGAGAAGAGAAGAGAAGCTGCGAGGATGCGAGCTCGTCCTTCGGACACAATAGGTGCAATCCCTTTGGACTTATCGCCTGCAACGTGTCCATCCGCGAGCTGATAACAGCTCCTGCTCTTCCTCTCTTCGTTTCTCCTTCTCCCAGGCACGTTGAAGAGGCCTGATAAGAGCCAAAGATACCCGATGAGCTTCGCGGATGGCTCCATGCGAAAATTGAACTTCCAGGGCACCTCCTGGGTCGCTATCAACTTTCTTATCAACCACTGACCAGGAACCGAGCTTCGTTTCAGGTGTACAATGTATTAGTCAAATCGTTGTACGAGGTAATAGGAAATTGTCTCTTTCGGGGAAATTCGTAAATCGCCTCCTAGGAGTGGATTCACAGCTAATAATCTGGTCGTCAAAGGACACGTCAGGAATTTATTATCAATGTCAAGGCAATATTCTTAGTTTATTTAGATAAGACGAAGCAAGTGGAGAATGAGGTGTGTGACCTAGCAGTTAAATTATTATGTTAATTTTTAGCCGTCCTCTAAATCGTCTCGTGTTTTTTATCAAAATTCATAAATCCCCTCCAAGGACGCGATTTTCGAGTTCATACGGACTTTTACCTTCGCATACAAATAAATTAGCATGAAAAAAAAATTCGCATAGTTGCAAAGGTTCGACGGTCGTATACGAAGCTGTCAATTCCTCAATGGAAAGTTGATCGTATAAATTAAAAAATAGGGTCCCTGAGATTAGTATTCGCAGGAAATAATTATATCAAATTGATCATCAAAGTTACTCCGAAAATCCAAAAAAGTGTCATTGAACAAAAGTTATACTCCTTTAAATCAGCCCTAAATAATATATTTCGTTAATCCAAAGAATATTTGCCTGAAATAAATTCCATTGAAACGTGCGCAACATTTATTTCGGAATTACAAGAATTAATTAGAGTCAAACGACGTAAGAAGATATTTCCTTGGTTAAATGAATTTCTCTTATCAGTGTGTGATAACCACACTGTTGGCTTTCGGGTTAGGTCGAAGCGATGGAGGAATGAATGTTTTCAACTGGAGAGAGTCCTCGTAACCAGCGAAGAGCATCGTGAGATAAGTTTAACAGTTTCAAGTACTCGATGGTTCTTATTGGGTGCCCAGAGAAGAGTGCAGAGGAAGGGTCCGGTAAAGACAGAGAGGAGACATCATCGAGTAAATTGAACGTAACGACCTGCCGTTTTGTCTCGCCGAGGCTCGCGAAGCCTGGGAGGGGCATGATGCACTCTTGCTGAGGAAAAAAGAAAAAAAAAACGAAGCCCGAGGAGGCGCAATTTATCCATTGCGCCAGTTTAGATCAATCGCGCAAGGATAACCACCGCCTGGAGGTTCTATGCCGTGTACGTTTCCTCTCGGTGAACCGGTACCAGGGAATTCTATAGGGCCCTGTAATGCCAGGTTACTACGATACCGTAACACTTGTCCGGAACAAGTACGGGAGTTCCTTCCCTTTAAGGTGAAGTGAAACACGTCGAGGAACTTGATCGACGTCGATAAAGAAGATTTTTCCAAATGCCTTGGTTGCCGACATTTATTTTTATATCGACAGCTGTATCGAATTGTATTGGGTATTGTACCAAATGGCATACTCCACCTGTCGTTTTCGTAGAATAATTATAAAGAAATCGAAGTAAAACTCCAAGAATCCTCTGGATTCATGCTTTCTGAGGCCCTGATTGACTGCAGAGGGACCCCCTGCGCCATCTGTGATCTCCAGGTCAATTAAATTTTCACTCCGAGACCTCGTATTACCGTCGTTTTGGCATAGAAGCGCATACAACACTTATTTTGCCTTTATCCCTTTCAAATGCGAGTTTATCGATTACCAGAGTGTTCTAAATTGACGTAAAATTGTCCTGACTCTTTCGATTCTCACATCAGAGCCTTCTATAATTGTATATTGATCGAAATGTGAGAGCTCGACGCCATTTTGGTTCAGGTCTAGGCCGAGTTAAAAAATTCTTTTTAAAAAATCCAAATTTTGAATGTGTCGGGACAATTCTTAGATGAGCAGGAGTGACGTATCAAAGTTTCGGACAGTTTGGTCTGATACCCTTTAAAAAAAGTGTTGTATTCTAATCGACTGATCATCAAAGAAGGGTTTTCAGTTCACCTTAAGGTGAAGTTGAAATCCCCCTTCAAATCAGGCGATTCGAATACAACACTTTTTTTAAAGGGTACTGGACCAAACCGTCCGCAACTTTGACACATGACTCGTGATATCATCTAAGAATTGTCCTGGCACATTCAAAGATTTGGATTTTTGGAGAAAATTGTCTAACTTAGCCCAGACCAGTACCAAAATGACCTCGAGCTGTCGTATTTCGGTCAATATACAATTATCGAAGGCTCTGATATGAGAAACGAAAGGGTCAGGACGAGTTTACGATAATTTAGCGCATTAGCACGTGATTATGAAGGTCTTAAGAAAAAACGCGATGCTCGTGAGATTTCACTTTTCAAAAATGATCAACGTTCCTTCGGAATTATGAGAGCTTGTTTAAATTTACTCCAGCCAAATAAGTGCTCTGAATTAATTAATAAAGTATATCTTTGGCTGAATGAACTTTTGTTCTCAGGGTAGCTAAGTCTAACAATGCCCTAGCTAGGCGCTGGAAAGCCTGAATAAAGTCCTCTCGTATGAAATATTAAATGATATTTTAGTCTTATCTTGACGTTAGTCATGAAAAAATGATCATTATTACACGTTGCCGAGTCTTAACCAGGGTTTGCTCTGGCTAGGGCCTGATGAGGAAGCCCTTGCTAGGGCTATGTTCTCCAACAAATAGAATTCCTTGTTGTCCAGGGAATCCTCCCTGGAGGCAGGGAACCTCGCGAGAAATAAATTGTTTAATTTGAGGGGCCCTCGCCGTTTCAGCAGCTGCAACAAGGCAGAGGTTTGGGGCCCCACCAACCCCTTAGGGCCCCGTTAAACGAGTTACGGGGTATTACGAATCCTGCCGAATTTTACGAGCAGCCGATTGGACCCCGGCCAGTCCGGTGGCAGAGCCGTAAAGTCCTCTTGCGGCGGACTTTATTGTTTCGGAGGCACGTTAAGCACACGTGTGTACGTTGGGAGATCCTAAAGGCTGCTCTTAATATGTCCGGGGAGGAACGCGTCAACTGGGGCTCTCGATTTCTCTTTGTTTCGATTCTGAGCCGACCCTAAGACCCCTGGTCCTTGGGCCTAAGAGACGCCGAGCGCAGAGGAACTCTCCGAGAGTTTCTATCCCAAAGGGACGGACAGACTATTTTGAGAAGAGGCCACGAACGCCGTTTTGGCGAGACTCCAGATGACCCAGCTCGATCGTTGACTTTCCTGGATGGAAGAAGCGTCGCTTCGTGCCGGAAGGCCCCGATAATTT